AATTAACTAAAATAATCACTCACAAATTAAAATAAAAAGGAGTAATAATTTATTTAATAATAAAGAAAGTTAAGCAATTAAAATTGAAAGTGTACAAATATTAAAAATGGCAACAATTCTACTTTAAATTCGTCTCTCATTTTCGTACACACGAAAATACAAATTAGACCAAACTACAAATCAACTCTCTCAAAAATCAATCAACACGATTGATATCTAGGCGACGAGTGTTCCTCCGATCCGCGGCTTTTCTGGAAACCGGCAGCGAATTTCGGAAAACTCCTTCCTTATCACACCTCATGATTTTTCCTATGAATCCTTCCTTGTCGAATTTGAACGATATACCTATTAGAAAGAAGGGAAAGGGTCGCTATAAGCCATGTGACATCTCCCTCTTATCAAACAGACGAGAAATCATTCAGGGAAGGGGCACTAGGTGAGATAGACACAAGACGCTGACCAACGGACTATACCAAAATTGGGAAAAATGCGACGGAGACAAAATCACTAACTATAGCACTGGACTCAGAACGAAAATTTGCCTATACAAGTAACGATTTACTTCGTTACAAATAATAAAGTAGTTTACCAAAATAAAACGTTTAAAAACGTCTTATCGTTTTTTTTTTGTCTTTCTAAACATTTTTTGTTTATTTTGCCAAGTTGCAAAATTTAAAATCATAAATTCCTTTTTAGAGAATCTTCAAAAATTATACATAAAAGTCTAATTGCAAATATTTTTCTTTAATTTTCCTTCTTGAGTATACAATATTTTTAAAGGTAATTTTTACATGAATGTTTGTATAATGAAAAAAATACATAATATATGTATATACACAAGTACAGCTATGTGTACTATACATTACGGTTAACGATTCATGGAAAAATTGCAAAAACATGGCAGTTTGTATCACGCAATATTTTCTTTAACATGGAAACGATAAAATCAGCAACTTCTAGTCGCATACCCTCACACTTAATTCAAAATTATTTATTAATAATGTTTATTTATCCCACGACGATGAAAAATAGAAATAGCTTAAAATTATTTAAACAAATAAGAAAAGAAAATTAGAAATACGATGAAGACATTTTTCAAGATTTCAGGTTTAAAAACAGTAAAAAAAACACAATAGTCAAGTAATGACGATATTATGTGATTCAAATAACTTTTTTCCACTCTTTATGCGATTAAAATCAAGTACTAAAAATAAAATTGTATGTATACACAGATTTATTGCTCTATTCGTTATATTCTTTCTTTCCAGTAAAATCCACGGCGAATAATTAGCGTAACCGATATTAATCAAAATTCCATTGTTCAACTAAAGAGAAATTCAAAGAAACTCGAACCAAACATACATATATAAGAAAATTATGATCAAAGAGTGAAAGCTTTGTCGTCAAGCTATATCTTTGTCTTCAAAGATTGCCTATTCATTCTCAAAGTCTAGTGATTTATCTTCGTTCCATGTCATGAATCACCTAATTTAATTCTACCCCTAGTATATAGGAAATTGCTTTCAGAATACAGACGACTTTTTCTTATATATACATATATATATATATAGTGTCCCAAATCAAAATGAACATACATTGCATATGTATATATTTTTCATAAATTGAAATTCTTCTTTCCATATATTTATATATTTTCTTTTTTCGCATTATTCAAATTCAAATTTGCAAACCATTAATAATCGCGGGAGAAATTTTTATAGAAATAAATCATCGCGAGGAGGAAAATTTTATTCGAATTTTAAAATTTCTACAATACAGTCATCGGAGAAATGGTTTTATTTTAAACAAGTACCTATAAGATATTTTTACGTTAAAAAATTGAAATTTTTCTCACATTCAATTTTATTTGTTTCGAATAAAAAATTTTATTTAAAACAAGTAAATTTTTTTCAGGTGGAAATAAACATGTTCCTAAAATTAGAGGTGACGCTCAATGTCGAAAACTATTATTTAGGGTTTTTAGAGATTAAAATGTCCCTTTATTCACCTAGGGAATTGTTTATTGTACGCACCCAGAGAAATGGTATATTTGTCTCAGAACCAACTAGACTTTTTATTTGTTTGAAATAAATTTTATTTGGTTTAAATAAAATTTTATTTATCTCAAATATATGTTTTATTTGTGTCGAATAAAATTTTTATTTAACCTTTAAAGTGCTAAGTGTTGAAAAATCACGCTCAGTGCTAACCCCGGTCTGTCAGACCGCTATTCCCTTTTGACAGTTTTTTAGTAATTTATAATTTTTAAAAGACAACTATTATAAATATTTTTTACTTTTTAACAAAAAAAGTCATTTCTGTATTATGCATTTATTTATTTTATTTATTTTATAAATGCAGTCTATGAGAACTGTCAGTAGAACTAGCTGCGCGTCAAGTTGCGCAGACGTCACTCATGGGAATATACTGGAATATACTTTCACTTAAAGCTAACCCCGGTCTCACAGACCGCTATACTTCAAATATTTATTTATATTACAAAATTTAACGAATAAAAATTTTTGAAAAAGTTGTCTCCTAACAGATTTTTATAAAATATGAAGCTACTAAAAAGTTCAAGTTCTTATTATACTTTGAAAAAAAGTTACAAGCAAAGAAAATTTTAATAGCGGTCTGTCAGACCGGCATAGCACTTTAAAGGTTAAAAGAAATAAAAAGTCTAGTTGGTTCTGAGACAAATATACGTTTATTTAACTCAAATAAAATATATTTGGTTTAAATAATATTTTTCTCTGGGTGTAATAAACAGGAAATTATTTTTTTCAAGTGTAAATATGTATAAAAGTAATTTTAAATTAAGAAAAGAAAAATTAATTGTAGTTTATTTTTATAATTTTTATTTTAATTCTATTTTTAATATTTCAGTGACAGCGGTGGGATTTTAGGAAAATTAAAAAAAAACTATTCTGGAACATTTAGGGAAAGCACCCAGTGAGAAATTGCCAATAGACTTTAATCGGTCCAATATCGGTCCAATATTGGTTGCCGTGCTGGGCGCCGATTGACTCCCAATATTGGACCAATATGGGCTGATGCTTGGGATGTAACGGCATCGCCAATCATCGGTTGTCAATATTGGTCCAATATTGGCCGAATATTGGCAACCAAGAGAAAAAAATTTTTTTAAATAAATTTTTTTTAATTAAATAATAATAATAAAAAATTAATGTTTATAATTTTTGTTTAATATATTTATTTGTTTAATTATTTATTTTTAATAATTCATGTAAATAATAAATAATTTATTATTCATAAATTATAATTATTTAAAAATGCAGCAGCTATTAGAAAATAGCATTCTGCAAAAAAATTCTATCATTGAAAAATCAATGATAGGCGAGAGAAATCCGCGTCTTTAAATAGATTCGCAGATGATAGACAAGAGATATCCGCGTCATTAAACGGATTCGCAGATATACTCTGGTCTCGCGACGAATCTCTCGATACTTATATACACTGGAGTCGCCGTGTCAGTTGCGAGAACGGTTACAGCGTCCCTCTTGCGGCAGAGATAAGAATTGTCACGTAAACTGCTAAATCGCTTTACCGACCGCCTTATTATACCCGCAGTTTACGTGACAATTCTTATCTCCGCCGAAAGAGGGACGCTGTAACCGTTCTCGCAACTGACACGGCGACTCCAGTGTATATAAGTATCGAGAGATTCGTCGCGAGACCAGAGTATATCTGCGAATCCGTTTAATGACGCGGATATCTCTTGTCTATCATCTGCGAATCTATTTAAAGACGCGGATTTCTCTCGCCTATCATTGATTTTTCAATGATAGAATTTTTTTGCAGAATGCTATTTTCTAATAGCTGCTGCATTTTTAAATAATTATAATTTATAAATAATAAATTATTTATTATTTACATGAATTATTAAAAATAAATAATTAAACAAATAAATATATTAAACAAAAATTATAAACATTAATTTTTTATTATTATTATTTAATTAAAAAAAATTTATTTAAAAAAATTTTTTTCTCTTGGTTGCCAATATTCGGCCAATATTGGACCAATATTGACAACCGATGATTGGCGATGCCGTTACATCCCAAGCATCAGCCCATATTGGTCCAATATTGGGAGCCTTTATTGGACCGATGATCGGTCTCTTGGCTCCCAATATTGGACCGATATTGGACCGGTGAGAAATTTCTCACTGGGCAGAACAAATGATGTCTGTCTGGTGCAAAAACAATAGAATCCAACTTTGATTTCAGAATTTTCATTATATATAATTAATTTGGAACTAACGAACTTTTAATTGGAATCGATAGCAAATTGATGGACACTAAGCAGACAAGGAACATTTATCCCCTTGTCATTTTAGGGAATTATTTTACTCTACTTTCTTTCTTTTTTTTTTGAAGAGGAAAACACGTTTTCTTAAGTGGAAAAGAAATTATCAATCTTCCTGATAATGCAGCAAACCAATTTCCTAATTACTGTTATAGTTGATGGCTATTTGGTAAACGAACATCCCTCCACCCTTATATATATATATATAAATTTATCGCACAAATGAAGAATTACTATCACATGAGAAAGTATTATCCGCAAATAATGTCGAAACCCTACTCACCAGTATTTTTTTTCTTTTTTCTTAAAAGAAAAACGTAATTTTGGTCAATTTTGTTTTTCTACTCGAAGGAAAAGAAATCTGTTTTTAGAAAATGTAGATGAATTTTTATCTCTTAATTTTTGTGTTTAAAATTTTTGTTATTTAATAATAATTTTTTTTCTTTATCAATTATTACAATTTTTGGAAAATCGAAAGTCTGTCTGAGAATAATAAATTAATAAATAAAAAATATGTTTACCTTCCGCAAAAAATTCTAATTTAATATTTGTCGCTCTCTTTGAAAATGTGTTTAATTTTTGTTTGATAAATTTAGTAGCAATATTGTAAAAGTTTGATAAATAGTATAAAAAATACCAAAAACTAAATATAGTATCATAAATGTACTCACTCATTATCACAGCAAAAATTATCTCTCCATTATTTCATCACTAGTAAAAAATAACCTGAAACAACAAAATTTTTTATTGTACATTTTACAAATAATAAATTACGTATCTTATTTTCGTTCATGTTTCTCCTCTCTAAATCTAAATTAGTTAAATTCTAATTAATTTTTTTTTCTTCAATGATTAATAGAAAACATAACTGATTATAATCAGGGACTTTTCCAGGTTTCCCAGGTTAAAAAACAAAATTTTTCTAGGCTTTTAATACGAAAATTATTCGAAAATATCAATAACTTCATTTTTAAATAAATATTTAATCATTATTATTTTTTCATATATATAAAAATTAAAATTTTCAAAAATTTGAAATTTAATGATTTATAAGAATATTATTATAAAACATGAAGAAAGCGATCACTCCGAGTCGAAGACAATACAATAATTAAATTAAACTTGCTATTTTGTTACTGCAACTTCTTCAAAAATTATTTTCATCATTACGATTATTCATTTCTAGAATTTTTATCTAAAATTTTTCTTTAGGTCAGTTTTTTAAAAACAATTTTTGAAAAAGTTCTTTGAGAATTTTCAAATTCTTTTGTTTTTTTACAATTTAATTTTATGAAATTTCGATTATTCTTACATTCCTCAATTAAATACATTAGAAATTAAAAACTTTAAATAATTTAAAAAGAATTCCATTAAATTTTTTGAAAAAAATTAATTCTACAGAATTCTTAATTAAAAGTATAAAAAATTCAAACTTCCAAAGATTTTAATTTGAAACCTTTTCAAAATTCAATTATTTCAAAAAATCCACGCTATAATGCTTTCAATATTCAATTATAATCTAAAATTTTAACTGAAATTCATTATTTTTTAAATAAATATTTATTAGAAAATTCTACGAGAATTTAATTATTTAACTACAAAAATACACTACCGTCCGTGAGTATCAGGACGCCCCTTTTTTCATGAGTGGAAAAATTCTTAAAACGTAAAAAATAAGAATGACAAAAATTTTTCGTATTTTTTTCCTGAAAGCTAATGAAATTATAAAAAGACTGACACCTGATCGAAGAATTTTCGTTGACTATTCTGTCAGATACAGAAAAAATACTGGATTTTGCATGCTTTTCGTAATTTTTTAATTTCTCGAAAACTAATTAACTTTTATTAGCGCTCTTGGTCTTGTTTTAATCTCTATTTAATGTAGAATCTAAATTATTAACTGCTATTGTGAAATAAATTTTTCCAACAAAATTTGAAACCGTAAAAGTAGGATTAAAAAAATTCAAAAAATTATCATGAATATTAAAGTGTCAAAAGGTCAATGTAAAATATATTCATTTGATAGATATACTAAAATTCAAAAAAATCTTTTTTATCCCACATGCACAAAAACGGCGCTTTCTGATAGCAGCCGACAGGGAGGAAAGTCATTCATTTCTTCGACCGTATGAAAATGGCGGCCGTGTTCTCCCAAGGGCAAGAAAATTAGCTGTTCACATGCATTTTTCTTGCCCAAGGGAGAAATCGGCCGCCATTTTCATACAAATCGAACAAGTGAATGACTTTTACTCCCTGTCGTCTGCTATCTGAAATCGCCGCTTTTGTGCATTAGGAATAAAAAATATCGTAAGTAACACGAGAATAAAGGCAGCCAATTTCTTTACAATGATTTTTGTGACACTCGTTCCGGTCTCGGGGCGCCTACGGCGCCCTCGACCTCCACTTGTGTCACAAAAATCACCGTAAAGAAATGGCTGCCTTTCTCCTCTTGTTGCTTAATATACTATTTAATTACTTAATTATTTAATTTAAAAAAAAATTTTTCTGTTGAAAAAGTGTCAATCTGTTTTTCAAAATTTTTTTATCCGACTTTCACATTTTTAAATTTTTTTGGAAAAATTTATATCACAATACCATTAATTAATTTAGATTCTACATTGAATAGAAATTGAAACAAGACCAAGAACGCTAAAAAAAGTTAATTACTTTTCGAGAAATTAAAAAATTACGAAAAGCATGCAAAATCCAGTATTTTTTCTGTATCTGACAGAATAGTCAACGAAAATTCTTCGATCAGGTGTCAGTCTTTTCATAATTTCATTAGCTTTGAGGAAAAAAATACGAAAAATGTTTGTCATTCTAATTTTCTACGTTTTAAGCATTTTTCCACTCATGAAAAAAGGGGCGTCCTGATACTCACCGACGGTAGTGTATTTTTGTAGTTAAATAATTAAATGTTTCTTAATATTGAATTCTTAAAGAGAATTTTATCAACAAACTTTTAAAAAATTAAATTTTTTCGACGAATTTTAATAAAATTTTTTTAAATAATTACATTTTTCGAGGCATTTGAATAAAATTGTAAATAAATTGTACTAAAAATAATTGAAATTCTGACAAGAATTTTATTACAATTTTTGAAAATAATTGAATTTCGAAGAGGAATTTTATTTTTTATAAAGATAATTGAAATTTTGATGAGAATTTTTGTAAATTGTTTAACATAATTGGATTTTTGCGAAGAATTATAATACTTTTAGAAATAATTGAATTCTTGAGACAAATTTTATTAAAATTTCTTTTTCAATAAAATTGAATTTTTTTTGAAATTCTATTGAAATAGTAGAATTTTGACAAATTTTTGAAATTAAATAAATTTCTACGAAGAATTTTATGAAAATTATTTTGAAAAAATTTTTATTGTTACAAAGAATTTCATTATTTTGAAAATAATTCAATTTTTTTTTAAATTTAATTAAAAATGTATTAAAAATAATACTTAAATTGCAATAAACAAATTGTGGCAAAAGTTTTTAAAATAATTGAATTTTTTTGCTGAATTTTAATAAAATTTTTAAGAATAATTTCATTTTACAAGGAATTCCATTAAAATAATTGTATTAAAAATAATCGAAATTATGCCAAGAATTTTATTATAATCTTTGAAAATAATTGAATTTCGGAGAGGAATTTTATTTTTTATAATGATAATTGAAATTTTGACGAGAATTTTTGTAAATTTTATTAAAATTTCTTTTCCAATACCTTATTTGGATTTTTTTTGAAATTTTATTGAAATAGTAGACTTGGAAAATAAATTGAATTTTGCCAAATTTTTGAAATTAATTTAATTTCTACAAAGAATTTTATGAAAATTATTTTGAAAAAATTTTTATTGTTACAAAGAATTTCATTATTATTTATGAAAATAATTCAATTTTTTGAAGAAATTTAATTAAAAATGTATTGAAAATAATACTTAAATTGTAATAAATAAATTGTAGCAAAAGCTTTTAAAATAATTGACTATTCTCTTGACAAATTAATTTTAATAAAATTCTTAAGAATAATTTCATTTTTCGAGAAATTTGATGAAAATTGTATTAAAAATAATTGAAATTCTGCCAAGAATTTTATTATAATTTTTGAAAATAATTGAATTTCGAAGAGGACTTTTATTTTTTATAAACATAATTGAAATCTTGAAGGGGATTTTTATAAATTTTTTATCATAATTGAATTTTTGCGAAGAATTATAATACTTTTGAAAATAATTGAATTCTTGAGACGAAATTTATTAAAATTTCTTTTTTAATAAAATTGAATTTTTTTGTGAAATTTTATTGAAATAGTAGAATTTTGACAAATTTTTGAAATTAATTAAATTTCTACGATGAATTTTATGAAAATTATTTTGAAAAAATTTTTATTGTTACAAAGAATTTCATTATTTTGAAAATAATTTAATTTTTTGAAGAAATTTAATTAAAAATATATTGAAAATAATACTTGAATTGCAATAAACAAATTGTGGCAAAAGTTTTTAAAGTAATTCAATTTCTTTGCTGAATTTTAATAAAATTTTTAAGCATAATTACATTTATCGAGGAATTCTATTAAAATTGTATTAAAATTTAAAAATAATTGAAAGTCTGTGATGAGTTGTATTATGTATTATTAGCAGAAATTTGAATTAATAGAATAAAATTAGTAATTAGAAAGAATTAGTTTCAAAAATTTTGATAATTATTTTTGACTAATAATTTTAAAAAATGTTTCAAATTTATGAATTTGAATGCACCTGTATTTTTTTCTCCTGCGTAAATTATAGAAAGAAAAAAAAATGAGATTAATTTTTCTTTTTGCAGGACGACCGCCGGACTTTTTAGCGTTCGTTATCACGTTGTTAATGATGCTGTTGATGGCGGCAGGAGTTAAAAAATCTCTCATATTTAACAATGTGTTGAATACTATAAATTTGGCCATTTGGGTCTTCATTATGACTGCGGGTCTATTTTACGTCGACTCCAGCAATTGGACAGAGCACAAGGGCTTCCTCCCTTATGGCTGGAGCGGGGTAAATATTTCTATTCTTTAAAAAAAAATTATTTAAATTACTATTCAAATTACTATAAATATAAATTACTATTCCCATTTCAATTTTTTTTAAAATAAATAGAATCGTATAAAAAAATAAAAACAATTAAACATAAATTTTTTTCTAAACGACTATTAAAATTAAATCATATAAATTTCTTTTATAAAAACACTTTCAGACAAACTCTTTTTGTTTTCATCAACATTTTAATTTATAGAATTTCAGCTTTTAGCATTTAAAATCTCTCTCTTCTTTTTCACACGATTCATATTTATAATCTCTCCGGTCTTATGTTTATAATCCAAGTTAATAACTATCCAAGGAAAGTGTGTTTTAATAGAGAACACGCGATTATATGGGTATAGCAAAAAGAAGAACGATCATAATCTACGTTTGGCATCTCATTAATTTTTTAAACGCGCAAACAAAACATGTGCGTCCAAAAAAAAATTCGGATATAGAATAGTAAATAATAATATTATAACAGAAACTGTTATAATATAAAATATTGCATAATTTCACAATATAAAGCTTCTTGTTGGATATACCAAGAAAATTTTATTGCTATATACACATATATATAAATGTGTGGGTGTAGTTTTTACTCAGTTTTAAGCCAATCGCAATGCTAGAAAACTAGGACAAACTGCAACAGCCTGCATCGTTGTGGATATGAAGAATTCTCCACACGATTTGTTTTCTGAACGCAATGAGCGTATCATCTGGTCATTATTATAAGATTTTTCTTTTCCTCTCTCCTATACCTATGTACACAATTACTTTTTGTATTTGACAATTATAAAGTTTCTGAAACGAAAAAAAGGAAAAAATTTCTCCTTTGTAAACTTCTTTTTTAATATAAAATTAATGCTTTGAGGGATGCATTTAAAATATTTAGAGAAATTTAATTTATAAAAAAGTTGTTCAAAAACATTTTTTTACACTTTTTTAAATCTAGAAAATATTTTATATAATTTATAAATTTATGTAACTTATAAATTTAAATAATTTAAATGTTTATATAATTTATAAAATGTAATTCATACATTTATATAAAAGATAAATATAAAGAAAGACTTAAATATACATAAAAAGTGTTTTTTTAAAATGAAATGAAAAATTTGCAATCAGACTGTTGCTGAAAGAAATATTCTTCTTGAGATTAAAAAAAGTAGAAAAAGGCCAAAGGCGATTTCAAAAAAAGAAATACAAAGGCGATATCTTTTCTTCGCCCGACTTTTTTATGATACACTATCCCCTTATGGTCCTCTATTCACCCCTTTTCAACCTTCTTAACCTACCACTTTATGGTTAACCCGAACTAGTAGAATATCGGATACTTTTTCACGAATTCAAAGTTTTCCGCAAACGTGACTTGTAAATGGTCGAAAGATTTTCCGTCCACACTTTATTTCACGAGAACAATGGCAAACTTGTTGCGCAAGGTTCGGTCTATTAAAACCTTGTTTGAGAAAAATAAAAACAGGGTATATGTATGCATGTATATATATACCATAAAGGATCTACTCGAGGATCTATGTATAAACAAAAAAATATGCCAAGACAAAATTATTAACATTTTTAAATTGCTTTAAGTGGAGATAAGAAAAATGAAGAAATAGAACAAAATCGATAACTGTGGTAATATGGGGTAGATGTAGAAGAATCTCTCTCTCTATTACGTTAAAAAAATTTTTTTTTTCTTCTTAAAGAAAGGGATAAAAAGCACAATATACCTATCTTTTTGAATTAATAAATTCACTTAAAACTGAAGAAAAGTTTTAATATAATTTTATCTTGTCTGAATGAGAGCAAAAAATTTACTTTTCTCCTTCTTCTATGTTTATCGGAAAATATTTAATAACCCATATTTTCAAAAAGCCTAAAAAAGACTCGATATTACTAAAAATACTCTCCCATCATCCTAATGAGAATAAATTTTATTATAAAATCAATATTTAAGTGAATTACTGCAAAAAAATTAGTCTCGTCAAATTTCTCTTTGATGATTTTTTTAACTTAAAGTTTCATTTAAAAAAACTAGAAAGTTAACTAAAAAAAATTTTTTTTCGATGTTTAAAGGATTTTTTCTGTATAGCTAAAAAAATGTATAGAAAACATATTTTTACAAATTCTCTGAATAAAAACCGAAAATTACTTATTGAGATGCTTATAAATTGAATAGCAATTTCTTTTTTTGGAAAAGCATACATGTAGAAAATCTCTATTTACATAATATCCATTTGAATTTTCAATACCAGAATTTAACGGTATTGAGAGTTTACGTTCTCGTAACATCCAAAAGAAAAGTAAAAAGTAAAAAAAAAAGTATTTTCAATATTAGGTCAACCGTGATTGACCTACAAAATTGAGACCGCAAAAGTAATTTTGGATTATATGAAAAGAAACATTTAGCGTCTAAAAATAATTACAATTCCAGACTGATAAAAATATATCAAAATTCTATCAACAAGTAGTAGTAATTATCCACTCCACATTATATTAAAACATTATTTTTCAATCCTTAGGTCAAACTTTAATGATTAAATAATACTGATCACTTTTTTTCAATAATCTGCGCAAAAAACTAAAAAGAAAATTTCACTTTAATTTCTTTATTTTATATTTTTCAACAAACACTTTCATTGATCGTAAAATTTTTTTTACGATTTACCGAAAAAAGTTTTGAGAAAACATTTTTTTTTTTTATTGAAATATGCAACTTTAGAAAGTATAATAAAGATTGACCTTCGGAAAAAAGAATGTTTTTTTTTCTTTCGTGAAAGATAGGAAAAAAGCTACATTTGACCTTTGAATGATAGAAGGGTGGGCGTGTAATTTGGATGACAATTTGAAACTTGAATAAAAGCGGACAATACAAACAAGGGTTGGGGAAGGCTTTCGTTATATGGGTTTTTCAAGAATACTCTTTTCACTCGCTTTTAAAGGCTCAGGAACATCCGATATTTAATTCTATACACTCCATGAAAATAGGAAAAAAACGAAGAAAGAGAAAATATACAGAAATTGAAAAAACCTACACATTTTTGCAAAACACTACCTGATGAACTTTGATGACTAAATATTCTAAACACTCGCTTTTAAAGGCTCAGGAATATCCGATATTTAATTCTATACACTCTTCGTGAGGAGAGAGAGAAGAAGAGAGAAAAAATATATAGAAATAGAACAAACCTACATATTTTTGCAAAACACTACCTGATGAACTTTGATGACTAAATATTCTAATCTAGAAGCACACACTAATCACTAAAAGGCACACATTTTGTTGCTTTTATGAATTAACATGAATTCTACGGATTTGATGTTAAGAAATAAATTACTTCTTTTAGGTATTTACTGGCGCTGCCACTTGTTTTTATGCCTTTATTGGATTCGACATAATAGCCACAACCGGAGAAGAAGCAACGAATCCAAAAAGAAGCATTCCACTAGCTATAGTATCATCATTGATCATCATACTCATCGCGTACGTCACCAGTAGTATGATTTTAACATTGATTGGTAAGTTATTTGAATTTTACTACTTCGATTTTAGACTATTTTCAAATTTGAATCAGAAATTATTTCTGTTTAATTTAATAATTTAATTTCTGAATTATTTCTAGTACCTTATGAAGAGGTGGATCAAGATTCGGCATTGGTGGAAATGTTTGGCCACGTTGGTGCCAATAAGTGCAAATACATTGTTGCTGTTGGCGCTCTTGCCGGATTAACTGTTTCCATGTTTGGAAGTATGTTTCCAATGCCTAGAATAGTATACGCTATGGCTCAAGATGGACTGATTTTTCGGTAACAATGGACTTTTTCAATGTCTAGATTCTATCTTTGATCGAATTTTCCATAAAATATTAATTTATTACACAGATCCTTGAGCCAAGTGTGGCCCGTGACAGGGACTCCTGCCTTAGCCACTCTTACTTCGGGAGTATGCGCTGCTTTTGCAGCACTGTTAATTAAATTGGAAATTTTGGTGGAGATGATGTCGATTGGTAAATATTTTTAGTTCTCTAGCAGAAGAAGAAAAAACAGCTTAATGATAATTAAGAAGTAGATGAATCTATTTGAATTCATTCTTTTATTAGTGTATACTCTACTAGAGTCGATTCCAACTAACACAGAAAGTATTGAAGAACACTAAAGAAAAGTGGTTCTGCTAAACCATTTCTTGAATCATCTTGATGCCTAATAATTACTAAACTCTTTTACAAAAAAGTTGTTAACTATTTTTTGTTAACTAATATTACTGTATTATTGTTATTGTACCATTATATTCAATGGTAAATTTTTTCTTCTACGTATCTTTAATAAGCTTTTTTTCCTAGGTACTTTGTTGGCCTACACTTTAGTGTCTACTTGCGTCCTGATATTACGATATCAACCTCACACCACAAATTTGGTCGAACTGCTTCCGCAAAGTTTGCGAACGCCTTGTCGTACTCCAACAAAGGAAACTCAAGGCAATGGTCAAGTTAATTACGGGAAAGAGTTGAGACCGGATCAACTTTCCACCGCCTTGAATACAGTTCAGGTATCTCAATCGGAAGTCGTCGCAAGTAATAATGGCCAGCGTGTCATGGTAATTTTAATTCCTTCCCCTTATCTAAAACAAAATAAAAATCAGAGAATAAATTAAAACAAATCGGAAAATAAATTGAAACTAAATGGAAAATAAACTCATTTTAAAAAAAAAGAGTTAACAAAAAAATTAAAATAAAAGTTCTTTTATTAAAGTTTTTCTTTTGCTAAGAGAGGTTTTTAAAAAAAAATGAACTTCACTCAAGAACGTGAAGCAAAAGATAAAAGAGACTCGAGATGATATTAACTTAAAATAAGCGTAGACTAGTCTGACCTAGACAAGAGCTACTATTTCTGTACTAAAGCACGAATCTTAATTTCATTCATAATTGAAAGCATAGTAGCAGATGAAACATGTACAATTGTAACTCTTATCACGTAAAAGCAAAATTCCTCACCACAATAAAGACCGTTCCCTTAACTTGTTGAATTAATATGCAAAAAGAGCTAATTAAACAATTTGACGTGAATAACTTATAAACATAATTCATCATCATCAATTTTTCACCCCACCAACGAAAGTCAACTTCAATTATAAATTCACACGAGAATAATATAATAGATGCTAATTAGGGAATTCGATTAACACACTCACTCGTAGAATATAAATTGAAATATTTCACAATTGTCATTTTTATTTTGAAACAAAATAATAAAAATGAATTTTCAAAAACCCAATTAAAATGCTAAATAATGTTGTAAATATTTTTAGGTACGACGAGTTAGAAGAGCTAATAGTTCATCGCCTGATTCAGATGACACTTACGGCGGAGAGGAGGATGAAATTGGTTTGGGTAAAGATGACCAATATTTGGTTAGTGATCGTACTGAGAATAAATTTTATGGAAGTGTTCATGCTGCCACTGCAGCAGGTTCGAGTTGTGGTAGTGCACATCAATATCCCGGAAATACACCCATTATAGGGCCACCATTAAATTATTTGCAACGCAAATTACAGGTAAATTCCCTTTAATTATCAACTAATCCCTTTTGACAAAGCAATTTACATATTTAATTGCAAAAGTTAAATTTGGAAAAAATCTTTTGAAAATTTGTTCTTTGAAAAGTATTTTTTTGAAATTAATCTAAATTCTATTTTTTGCAGGACGTTCAATACCTGTGTCCAGGCATATTCCCTTGGGTCGACAGGGGACCTGCCACCGAAGAAACGGGTCGATATGTCATGAAGTTGGTCGGAATATTGTATTTACTAATTTTAATTTTCGACCTGATAATAGTCTGTGGCATGGGTGAGTTAATATTTTACGATTGAATGAAAAATATTTGTGTTAATATTTACGAAATATTCTTTTAATTTTTACAGGAAATATGGGAACGTTCACGACACTTTTGATGTTTGGGTTTCTATTCGGAATCATCGGTGTACTTTTAGTCATTAGTAGAAAACCGCAAAATAGGTAATGTTTATTTCTTACTATCAAGCAGTTGGTGTAGAGAAAAGCTTTTTAGAAACACTTTTAATTGATAAACAAAATTATGAGAATTTGTTATAATAATGTGTAAAAGAACTGATCATCTAAACGATAAGTAATATTCTTTTGTTTGCTTTCTAATCCTTGACTGTGAAATTAAAGCTGACCTCAACAAATAAGGATGTTAGCTACTCTTCAGCTTTTAATCCTAAACATCTAAAGTAAATCCAACTACCACTTTGTTTACAGACATACCCTGATGTTTAAGACCCCAGGATTGCCATTTGTGCCAGCCATTGCTGTCACAGTGAACATTTACCTTATATTCAAACTCAGCGTGTTGACACTAGTGAGGTTCACAGTTTGGATGACACTTGGTAAGTTGCTAACGCAAACAAGAAATTTTAGCGAAAATCAAAAATGTTAAACTTGCTCAAGTCGAGTTTCGACAAATATTAATCCTAAATACTTGAAGGAATTCTAAACTAAAAGTAAACGAAAATAAAATAAAAATTAAAGCAACACGTAAGGAAAGTTTCACCTGGAACAGCGAAAAGTTCCTCTAGAGTATCAAGTTTTTACTGAAAGAAATACAACTTTCGTCGATATGATAAAATTTGTAACCATTCTAGATGAAGCTTTCTTTCCGGAATTTTGATGAAATGATTATATGACTGATTTGATGAATGAATGACGAAAATTAACCCAAAAAGAAAATCTAAACTAAATAAACAAATTACAGGTTTTATCATGTACTTCTACTATGGTATTAAGCACAGTACGTTGGAAGAAGGTAACAAGACGGATAATATGGATGATGGTGTTACTGAAATTGCTGGTAATATTGAACTCACCGTCACTGAGCATACAAAACCACAATCATCATCGTCATCATATCCATCGCAAGATCGTAATATTTATGAGGGCCAACAACTTGATGTTTTTGGTCAACCAGTATTTGGTAGTACGAATTTTGGGGGCACGCCTAAACACAATGCATCCCAATCGCAATCGCAATCGAGAAATTTATTTATTCCACAAGACAGTTTTCCCACTTGGGATGATTGAAGATGCGAAACATTCAACGCGCGATTAAAAAATCAATTTCGAAATTTTAGACGCATAATATTTCATTTTGAAAATTGCAGATCAATCCCCGAAATTCTTGAAAATGCTTTCTTCAGAATTTAATTCCATTCTTCCTCTTCTTCTTCCAGTGTTTTGAAAATCTTTTTATATTTTAAATATTTTATTTAAAATTTTTACAATCTACTATTTACATAAAGATAATTTTTATGGATTAAATTTGTTTGGGGTATTGTTCATGACCCTAAAGTTTGCGTCGACGCTCGTGGACAAAAAATATTATTTGAGGTTTTTAGAGATAAAAATAAGACAATTTCACGTCGTTCGCACTTTTCTAACTTAAAATTAAAACAATTAAAATTAATTAAATAATTATAATTCTCATTAATTATTAAAAAAATAGTCGACGCTAACTTCAAGGAACTTTTTTTCTTTAACAAAAATATTAAAATTGCGATTCCAATACTGAAATTTCAAGATTAAATAGAAAAAAATATATCTGTAGCATAAGGGAGAAGAAATATTTTTTCTAATTAATATTAAGACAAAAAAAAATATTCACAAAAGAATAATTTCTTTCTCTCTCTCTCTCATCTGAATCTGTTCAAAAATAACAAATTATCAAATAAAATCGTTTGGAATTTGATTTTTTTTTTCTAAATTATTGTTACTATTGTAACAAATTTTGATTTAGAGAATATTCATATCTGACAATATATCGAAAAATGAAAAAAAGGGATCAAATTTACCGCACATATCATTTTTCTCTTTCGAGTAAATCAACAAATTTTATCAGTTCTTTTATTTTAGTGCAAAATTGGTACTGAAAAATATGGACTAATTGAATTGCAAAATTGATATTTATATTGATATATTTAATTAACGAGAAAAATAATTAACTATTAATTAATAGCAAATAATCGCAATTTTAAAATAATCTGTTTTTACCCAAAAATATTTAATTTTCACCTTTGTATAATTTACAAAACAACAATATTATTAGAAAATAATTTCACTAAAATTTTTAAACGCTCAAGTGAACGTAAGTTTTTTTCTACTTAATTATTTTGAAAAATTACTATACTTAATTGCAAAATAATGCAAATTCAACATTTTATTGGTTAACAATTAATTTTTTCAATATAATTTTTTTATATAATATTTTTTAATATATTTTATTATTATTTTTTTTAACATAATTTTCAATATTATGTTTTTATATATAACATTCACTATTATACTTTTTATATAATTTTCTTTAATAAAATACAAATTAAAAGTAGTGACAAAAATATAGACAATCATTTGAACGTTCAAAAACTTTAGAAAAAATTAAAAATATCACAAACTCGCGCTTCCAAAAAAATTCTTATTCACGCTCAAAAAAAAAAAAAAAAACTATCATCATAAACAAAATAAAATGAGTAAAATAAAAAGAATTTATATCTGCAATTTTCCAAAATGACCTCGAGTTCTTGTTAACTAATATATTGTTCAGAACAAATGTAGCAAATCATTTTCGGCAATATTTAATAGTACCATAGTTGTTGTTACGAAAACGAAACGAGAAGAGGAAAAAAATGTTATTCAAAAGCAGAGGAAAGTCATTTTAACAAAAAAACAAATCTCTTTCTCACTTCTTTAAAGAGGAAAAACAAAGCGAAAAAAAAAGTTTATTGTTAAAAAGAAAATATAAGGAAAACGTTGATGAATTTTTTCCTCAAAAAAAAAAGAAGAATATTAATACAAAGAGAGAAAAAAATGTGAAGAAAAAAGGAATTAACAGAAGGAAGAGACCACTTTAGTTAATAAGATAATAAAAGAAGAAAAAAAATTGTGTTTCGCACGCGAACATTATATAGAAAATAAAAAAGTTAGTCTATCGAGAGAATATGTGCGAATGAAAAAGAAAATACTTGCATTATAAAAAATTGAATCGCGAATACGAGAGAAAGAAATCGATAGTGTGAATGTATCCGTCTGTGACTGAATGAATATAAAAGAGAAAAATTCGAAAGCAAGAATAATAAATTATGATCTTTGCCTAAAAATTTAGTCTTTCCCAAAAAGAGAAAAAAAAAACTAGTCATTAAATTATAATTCCCTAAAATCTATAAGCTCACTGTAATATTTATCTACGTCTTACCTCCTTATAAATCGTAAATATAATTGTTATTTTACACCATTTGTATATTCGTTCCCTTGTAGATTATACTAGAATCGCATAAATATATATATACACACAAAAAAATCTTTAAAGGACAGAAAACTACTTTTTCATTTAATATAAAATGAATAATGTCTGTAGACATTTTTTTTCCAAATGTAATTAAAAAAAAGAATTTTCGCTGTGCTTCGTTTTGTAATCACTGAAACATATCCAGAAATTAAAAACGAAACTCGACGTCTTCCTATATTTTATAATTAAATTATCATTCTTTTTCCTGCATTATTAATTAATTTCTGTTTCTTTTTTTTTCACTTTTTTCCTAAAAAGAATAAAATTCTTCCATTTGAAAAAAAGCTTCTTTAATTAATTTTTCATCTTCTTTATATTAAAGTGAGATTATAATTTGTTCCAAGGAACAAAAGAAAAAAAGGAGATAGAAAAAGACAGATAGTACAATTATTGTGCAGTTGTATTCATAAATAATCCTGGATATGTTTCTATATATATATAAATACATATACATATTCGAATATATTGTGAATTGGATTCGAAGTCGAGTCACGAATTTATATTCATAGAAACCTTCAAATATTAATTTCCACATAAATATTCCGTCGGCGGGAACGACGGTCGATATTTCAAGATTTCGCTTTAAAATATTTTTGAAAATGTCACCCCACTCAGATTTTCATGTGCGTTTGTGACACCACTCACGCAGCACAGCACGCGAAAAAGAAAAAAAATTTTAAACATTCAAATGAAAGAAAAATAAATTACATTTTTTAACATATACGAATTTATTATTATAGAGATGATGAAGAAAAAAAACACTGATGATCATTTCATTTAAATGTTTGAAATTCGAAAGAAGGATAAAAAAAGGGAAAAAGAATGAGTTGTGAACTGTTGAACAGTAGCGATAGAAATTAATTATGTGTATACGTGCGTGAGTCGCTTGAAGTATAAATTATAATAGTTTTCTTTTTGAATCACTACTTATTAGTTATTTATTCAATAAAATAAATAATAATTTTAATACAATACAAATGTTCTAATTTAAAAATTTAATAATTTTTTATGTATTAAAAAAAGAAGCTAGAATCATTTCTTTAAATTCACTTTTTTCTACCAATTTATGTATTAATGATAACATTATTAATATTACAATGTTAATTATATCAATAGTTGATACACTAATAAAAATTTATTTATAACAGATTACTTGACTATTATCAAATAAATATTGACTTGAATCAAATAAATTGTATTTGAATAAATTATTTCAGAATTTGAAGCAAATACCGCATTTAATTGATTCAATTAAAAATTATTTGACCCAAGTATAAATATATTTATTTAATAATAGACAAGTAATCGGTTAATTAAATCAAATACATTTTTTTCTGTGTAGTAATGTTAATTATATTGTTAATTAATATTAACTTATTAATTATTAATTCAATTAATTAAATTAGTCTTCCTTTTGTTGTTATTTAAACTTTTATTCAACTGGTATGATTAAAATTGTTTATAAAAAGGTTATATTGTTAATAATGATTAATTCATTAATTATTAATTAAATATATTAATAATTAAAAATTATTTATTAATAGAATACACATTTTAATAAACAATTTTAATTTCAATTTTTATTATTAATTTGTAAACAAATTTTCATTTACGGCTCACGTACGCGCATACTTCGAAGCGCTACCTGATGTAAAACATGTATGTATTGCGAATTATAAATTGTTATTATTATTAAATATTTTGAATGCACGTCTCTCTCAAATTTAAACGAAAAGATAGAAGTTTACAACAATAGAAATTAAAAGAGGAAAAAATTAACGAAAGAAAAAAAATACTATACATATTAATAATGTTTATAATTAATAAATTATCTTTCATCGAAATATATATTGCGAAGAAGAAATTAATTAAATTAAAGAATTCCAATTTTTATTGGAAAAAAACAATTGAAATTTTTATATTAAGGGCATTTGAACCATTATGACGTCACAATTTGCGCAAAGCATGTGTTCCAAAATTGTGACGTCATAATGGTTCAAATCCCCTTAATTTAAAATTAAAAAAATTAATTTAAAAAACTTGTTAATTATTAAATTTTTTAATTGAATTGAATTGAAATTGAAAATTTACGATTTAATGATAAATTGAAAATATGAAAAATATTCTGAAATATATTTGAAAATTATTGACAATTTTTTTAAAAATCATTGAATAAAATATTATTATAATATAAAATCGGTCGGAATTAATATCATTGTAATATAAAATCGGTCAGAATTAATATATCATTATAATATAAAATCGATCGGAATTAATATATAATTATTAAACGTGTGCTTAAAATAATAAAACTAAATTTGATCTTATTCAAAATAAATAAATACCTTTACGTATTTATATATAAATTCCAAAATATATGAATGTACCTATTATGCTACCTATATACACACTATAAAAAAAATAATAAAGGGAGATTATATTATATTCTGTGAAAAGAACAGTGCCTGTACCTCAGACGCTAGGGAAAAAAATTAGATTCTTCCGTTTGATTTTTGAGAAAAGAAAAATAGAAATCTTCAAAGTTAATTGAAAAGAAACAAGAAAGAAAAATTTGCTAAAAATAAAATTACAAAGTGATTATAAAATGAGATGACAGTGAATAGACTTTTAGAATTATTTTATCTGCAATATTTGAAATCGCCGACAATCCGAAAACAAAAATAACTTCCAGCTTAATATGTTTCTTTAATTTTTATTTCATTTAATTACTTTAATTTATTTATTTTAACTATTATTCGTAAATATCTTTCTCCCAATATTTAAATAATTTTATAAATAATTATTTATTATAAATATTTAAATAATTTTTATAAACAATTAATGATTATTAACAATGAATAAATAATAATTATTAATTAGGAATAACTTTATAAATAATTAACAACAATTTGTTAATAAATAATTTCTGTATGAATTATTTTAATATATAAAAATCTATTTATTTCTATATAAATTATTTATTTGTATAAAAATTTATTTATTTATTTTTATACAAAGTATTTATTTATATAAAAATAGATAGATACTAATGTAAATATTCATAAATATTTATTTACCAATTTTTTATAAATATTTATTTCTCGTCGTTTAATATAAATATTTAATAATAAATATTGAATTCAAAAATATTTATTCACAAATAATTCACAAATAATTCATATAAATAATTCACAAACAATTCGTAAATAATTCACAAAGAATTTATAAATAATAATAATAATAATAATAATTGTCAATATTTGTGTAAATTACTAAAAAAAAATCCTAAGTGGTTAAGTAAATTGAAACTTTTTTCATGCAATTATATTTATACTTTTATTAAAAAAATTAAAATTTAATTTTCTCTTTACAATCCACGATGCGTAAATTAAATAATTCCTACTTTAAGTCCATTTAATTATTTATTTAATTCTAAAAGTTAATTGTAAAAAAAAGGTTTGTGCATAAATATTAAAATTTTCCTATTTTGGAAATTGTAAAATTGTAACAATAACAAAATATTAATTTTTAATTTAACAATTAATGTTTAAATGATAAATATAATAATAAGTACATTTTTCACTGTGATAAATGAAAATATATAAGAATATTGTTTCGGATTGTCGGTGAAAAAGAGAGAAAAAAAAATAATAAAAACAGAATTATACATATCTTCCGTCGTGTTCACGAGTTATGCGTTATGTTTAAATATATAACTAATGCACTAAACAGTTTTAAGACTCATGGTAAAATATTTTTTATACTAAGCAGATTTACTAATCTCAGTAGGCTTGAAGTTTTTCATATCGTTGGCTAAATTTAGTTTTCAAAATGAAAAAACCAAAAAAAAGAAAAAGGAAGAAAGGTGTTTTCCAACTTTACTTAAATTGAAAAAAAAGAAATAATAAAAAATAAAAACTATATTAATACTTGTATATTCAAATCTTGAACATTAAACAAAAAAATGACTGTAGCTAATTATATTAAAAAATAATTTATTGAAAAAAAGGAACTTAATGAAAAAACTGTATTTTACCATTTTTTTAACGAGAAAAAGCAGGGAGAAAAATATACGTATACTTTAAAAACTGTCTCATCTCAAAATTATTTAGAATTCATTTTTTTGTTGCGTATTAGAGAATTCCGAAATAGCACAAAATGCTTTTTTTATGTAAAAAAAAGAATAAATTGTAGAACTGAATTATGGGAAAATATACGAGCACGGTCATAGGTAGTTAAATGAAAATTAAAAAAAAAATGTTACAATGTTTCTCTCGACTCTTTCGACTTTTACAAAATGAAAGTACCATAAAAAATGTATTGGTCCGACGCGACGAAAAAAAATAGTTGCGCACCGTTTTGAAAAGCAGAGCATTCGTAAATTATTTTTTAATGCAAGAATGTAAAGAAATGACACAATATAGAAAATAATGATGAATAGAAGTGAAAAAAACGATTTTATTGAGGAAATTTTGACGTAGTAAATTACTCTGTGCTTTTTAGTTAGATTTTCAAATTTTTAGATAAGAGGAAATGGCCTATTGCATTTTATGAGTACAGGGTGTCACAGAGACGATCTTTTATTAATCTAAGGCAGCGAAACAGATTTAATAGGCGGAGAGAAAATATTGTTCAAATGATCCTTCTTCTTCTTTTAATTGTTAATTTTAAATTTTTGAAATTTTACTCACTTTTTTTCAAATATTGATTATTCTAATTATTAATTTTTATTCCAAATATTGATTATTTGTTCCAAATTTACAGAAGAACAGATGATAATTAAGAGCTAGCATTAAAAGTAATTCATATAGAAATACGCAAAAGTCTGTGAATCAAGAAAAAAAAAGAAAAATAAATTCCATTAAACATTATTTCTCTCCAGCCTGATGCATCCTGTATACTATAATTAATTACTACTTGATGTACTTGTTCCAAAATGTTATCGCGTTATAATTTATAATTAACAATTCGAAGAACAAATTTCTACACTAATGAATAATTCACTTGTGAAAGAATTACAATATTTTTGTTATTTATCCATTTTTTCTATTTATTAGTGAAAATAAACTAAACTAAATTTTAGACAGAAAAATTATTAATTTTGTTTTAAATTGCATTTTCCATGGATAATGTGTATTGTAAAAAAATAGATTGTATTGAAAAAAGTTGAAAAAATGTGTTATTTGGAGTGAATGTCTCTGTATAATGATTATGGAAAATTCATAGCGAAACACGAACACAATATTGTCGCCAATAAAACGCCAGTTATGAATTTTTTTCAATTTATAATAGTCGATAAAACAAATTTTATGCCCGAAAGTGTATAATTATATTTCCTGACGAAATGATGACGAGTTTCAATATTTGATACTTGAGTGTTATATCGTCAGTGAACAATTCTACATAACGGACAAACAATTTTCCATGTAAAATATATACCCCTACATAGGGTGTTTTCGACGTTGACACTCTGAGCGCTCTGAAAGTACGAAACGTGGTTGGTTGGGCTAGGGGAATTCTGAATGTTGATTGGCTGAACTTCAAAATTCATAGTTTTATGCTCTGGTTTCCACACTCTGTATCGCTCGGACCTTTGATACCGAGCGATACAGAGTGTGGAAACCAGAGCATAAAACTATGAATTTTGAAGTTCAGCCAATCAACATTCAGAATTCCCCTAGCCCAACCAACCACGTTTCGTACTTTCAGAGCGCTCAGAGTGTCAACGTCGAAAACACCCATAAAAACTACGTTATTTAATATCGATAAGGATCAAAATAAAAATGATTATTCAAAAATAATTTGCATTTTGTCATTGTAATGCGGCTTCCCTCGTGGCCATGTGTACGTCCCATTAAAACTGTTGAAATTTTTATTATTCCGATAAGGGTATAAATGGTATAAATCATTGTTTAGTAAATTATTCGTCTAAAATATACAAGCCTTAAAAGAAAACTTTGATAGTATGCAAAAAGAGGAGAAATTTACCATTTAGAGATGAAAAGAGAGGTTGGAAACGACACAGACCGGTGAAAAGTGAAGCACTTGTTGACAAAATTGACGCGCACTGGATTTTAACACTTTTTACTAAAAAAAAATAATCACTAACTATTTAACACTACTGGGTGGTGTATTTCTGTTAAAAAATACTTTACGAACAATAAAAAACTTCAATAATGGGAAATTTTAGCAACTTTCGAACTAAGCTGGTCTTCGCGGGAATGTCACACTAAAGCATGAAGTACACACAAGAGAAGGTCGACTCAGAAACATCCCTATAGTTCCGAATTCGACCACCAGATGTAGCGTCAAGTAACTTCCCCGCTCTTATTTAAAATGTTTAAACATATTTATTAATAATTAGAAATTAATAAATAATTTTCACTGATAGTTGTTTGAAATACAGAGGAAAAATTAAGAATTATCTTTAGATTAATCGATTAATATTTTTTAAGCAAAAACACAGCTGGAAGTTAACAGCGCCACCTTTAGGCGGCGCTGTTAACGCTTCTCAATTTGACCGGCGTCTTTTCCGTGTCTTTTGTCTTCCGAGACATTGCTAAGCGTGTATACATTTCATTTTTAAATTAAAATTTTTAATAATAAACTATATTTTCGACACAATGCAAGGAACAATTATTGAAAATTTAAGTGGCAGAAAACTCTCAGTACTAGTGTCGTTGCTGATAATTGGACAAATTACTTCCTTTTTAATTGGTGGTCTCATTGGTAAAGTATTATTCATTTTGTTTATGTTACTTGCATGTGGGGCATTATTGTCAACACAAACGAATGCATAAATAAATCTTATGGGGGTAAATAATTTCTTTTAAATCAATTTGTTTGGAATATTTGAGTATTTCTTTAAAGAATCAGGTCATTTATATGTGGATTAAAGGTTTATTTCGTTTTTATAGCACCCACTCCATCGAATACTCAGACTATTCTTGGTTATACTTGCAAGGATGTGCGAATTAATGGAACAATACCGAATGATAAGTGGTACTATTCCCGTGGAAAAGGGGCTTGTAATCTTGTCGATTTGCATACATTTGATGATTACGAGAGCCACTTGAAGGCCTTTCAAGTTGTCTTTGCATTCCAGGTTGGGGAATTTTCTTTTTCTTTGTATTTTTCTACTTTACGAATTTTCTACTTCTGTTCTATATTTGCAATTTTTTTTGCAAATATGTATTGCAAATTTTTTTACTTTTTTCTCTTGAAAATAAATTTTCAACTAATTTTAAGTTATTAGGGTATTAAATCGTTTGTACTTTTAAGGGGAGACTTTGACTACATTTTTAACTGTAGTTTATCATAATATTTTTGTATTTTATACTTTTTACAGGCTTCACAGTTTTTCCCCTTTTGTCCCCTTATTTCAATTTTATCACCTTTTTCACCTTTTTATTGACGATTTGTCACCTTTTTCCCCTTTTTTGGTGATTTGTCCCCTTTTTCTAATAAAAAATAATGAAAAATAATTTCTTTTTAAATAACTTAAATCTTGAAGAACTATCATAAAATTATTACTTAGAAATTTTTAATGAATAATTTTACTTAAATATTTCAAAATTAATTGAATTTTAAAAAAGTTGCGTTTACAATTATTTTCATAAATAAAGATTTTAATTTTTTATAAAATTTCAATTTTTAATTGATTTTATTAGAAATTCTAAAGAACTTAAATTGCAAAAATTTTCAAAATTCAAATTATTCTGAAATTACTTAAATTTTTTAATTTATATATTTAATTAATTATTAAAAATAATGAATTTATCGAGGAATTTTAGTTAAAAACACTAAAAAAAATTTGAACTTTGGAGAAGTTTTAAATGATTGCAAAAATTCAATTAATATTTTCAAAAGTAATAAAATTCTTCGCAGAAATTCAATTATATTCAAAAATTGAAAGAAATTCTCGTTAAAATTTCAATTCTCTTTATAAATAATAAAATACTTCTTCAAAATTCAATTATTTTTAAAAATTTTAATAAAATTCTTGGCAAAATTTCAATTATTTGCAAGACTTTTCCTAAATTCAATGATTTTTAATATCCACTATTATAATAAAATTTTCCAAAAGAATTCAATTATTTAAAAAAAAGTTTATTAAAATTCTACGCAAACGTTTAATTATTTTCGTAATTAATAAATTTAATTATGTAAAAATTTGGTGACAAAATTCTTTATGAAAATTCAATTTGAAGAAACATGCAATTATTCAATACATTGTTATTTTTGTATTTAAATAATTGAATTCTAGTAGAATTTTCTCATAAACATTGATTTAAAAATGGATTTCAGATAAAATTTTACATAATAATTAAATATTAAAAGCATTAGAGCGTAAATTTTTAGAAATAATTGAATTTTGAAAAAGTTTAATTGAATTTTTTTATGTTATTTAAAGTTTTTATTTTCTAATATATATTTAATTGAAAAATTTCCGAATAGTCGAAATTTTGTAAAGTTGAATTGTAAACAAATACATTTTTGAAAATTCTTAGAATTTGTTTAAAAATTATTATAAATAATTGATTTAAAGAAGAATTTTAGTTAAAATTTTTAGAAAATAATAATTGAATTGAAATAATGAAAATAATTTTGAAGAACTTACAGTAAAAATATTTGTTAAAGTATACAAAATAATGATCTTATCACTCGGTCATCTTTAATTATTATAAATTGTTGGATTTCAAAAAGATTTGAATTTGAATGTTTTGAAAATCTTAATTCCTATTGAAAAAATAATGATAAAAAAAAATAATAATAATGATTAAATATTTTTTAAAAAAAGAAATAATTGCTGTTTACGAATAATTTTACAATTAAAAAAATTCGTAAATAAATGTAATAGAACATTTTTTTGAGCATCTAATAATTTTTAGAGTGAATCAGAATATTCTTTAAGGTCAGGGAAAAAGTTAAAAATTGCCTAGAAATCAGGGAAAAACAAAATTAAATTTTTGTGGAAACTCTAATTGAAATCGAATCATTTTTAAAAAATTTTATAGAAGCTATTAAAAAATTTGAATTATATATGCAAGTTTTATAAACAAATAAATTTTTGTCCCCTTTTTGTACCCTTTTTGAGGAAAAAAATTCCCCTTTTCACCTTTTTTTAAGAAAAAAAAGGTACTGTGATGCCTGTTATAACTTAAAAAAATTATGATTTAAAATTAGTTAAAAAAAATAAACAAATGAATTTCCATAAAAAAAAAAAATTCAATAACAATGGTTTTTTAACATTTTCGACTTAAAAACAATGTTTTTTTTTAAAAAAAATAATAAAAATCATTTTTTTCATTCAGCAATTTTTTTGAGAATACAGAAACATCAAACATATTTTCTAAAAAATTACGGATGGACTTTAAAATCTTTCAATTTTTAAGAAAAATAAAAATCCGAAAAGCAGGCTTCGGATATTTTCCAAAAATGCGACTTTTTTCGACTAATTTTCAAAAATTGCTACAAAATACCACATGTTTAGTATAAATTCACAATTATTGTGAAAGTTTTTAATTAAAATTCTTCAAGAAAATACTTAGTTTTTTTTTAAATTATACAAAAATTCTTTTAAGAAATTCCACTATTTTCGAAAAATTAAATTAGAATATTTTTAAAAAACTAATTCTTATAATTGTTTTATCATAATTTTTTAAGATTTACTTATCTTCGAACAAAGTAAATTATATTTTCTTTAAATTTACTTCGTTAGTTTATTATTAAAATTTCGGAAAAATCATGTTTATATTTATAATTAAAATTCTTCAAAAATTTGATTATTTATTTTATTTTTAAAAATATTTTTAAAAATATAATAACTTAATAACTGTAAAAAAAACATGGTCAATTATTACAGTTACAAAGATAAAATTTTTGTTGCAAAACTGAATTAAATAAACGATTTTTTCGACTTTTTTTCTGTATTAAACTCGATCCGAGGCCTGCAAAAACTTCAGAATATTTTATGACCGTTTTTATTTTCTGACCATTGACTTTCCCTCTAAAAATTACTATAAAAATAATTTTATGGGAGATATAAATCATTTTCTTGATACAGTTAAAAAAAAATGTAGCCAAAGTATAAAATACAAGAATTTTTTGTATTTATTTGTTTATTTATGAACTTTTAGATGCCATTGCCTCGAGATAAAGTTCAGTTGGATTATTCTCGTTGGCATCACAGTTTAATTGGCGTTTTGCACGTGGATATGGTCTATCACCACAAAATCACAATACGTAAGAAATATTTTTCTTAAATATATATACAAAAATTATGGTAGTAATATTTTTTTATTAATATTTAATTTGTTACTTTTATTTACAATGTTATTCAGCACCGAGAACGAAATTGACAATTGATGCTAGACTTGGATACAGAAATAAAGAAGATCCTGATGATGCTTGGAAAATGTACGCTTCTTCGGAATTCGAAAGAAATTTGGAATGCAGCATCAGTACTGTAAGTACTTTTTTAATTTTTATTTATTAGAGCCGAATAAAATTAAATTATTGAAATTATTATTCACTATTAATTTATTTGCTATGAAAATTATCGTTGGTGATTTACCATTAAAATTATTATTTACCGTTAAAATCAATTCTAGTTTTCTATTTTATAAATTTTATTTCGGTTTCAGAAAATGGATCAATATAATTACAACTGCAGTCTCGTTTCACTTTTTGAATTGGGTTCACTGTTTCATGATTATTATTTACTCAATATTCGTCTTCCTGCAGATAGTGATAAAAATATAAATCAGGAACTAGGCTACGTTACGGATTTATTACTCACCGTAAGTGCTAGGAAGTTTTTTTCTTTTTTTCGCAAAATCACAGTTTATCAATTTTATTTTTAATTTTTAAATTCTGTTTTAATTACAGACGATAAATCAAAATGGAGGATTTACGAAAGTTTGGGTTGGTCTTAAAACATTTTACTTTCCAATTGTCGTGTGCCTTCTTTTGTGGTATTGGCGACGAGTTAATATGCTCACGAGATCGCCTGCACTTTTGGAATATATGCTTCTGGCTCTTGGAATATCCCTCACGTTTTTAAATGGTTAATTTATTTTTTAATTAATTTAACACATTTAATATTTTTTAATTTAATAACAATATTTCTAATATTTTTTGATTCAATAATTACATTTTAAATAATTTTTAATTCAATAATCTATATTAATAATCGTTGTATTCCGGTAAACTGTTCGCAGTTTCAAGTTAGTTGCTGTTTGCATTTTTGTTTCCTAACTTTTTAAATAATTTTTCTTTTTAAATATTTTCAATTTTAAAATTAATGTAAGTAAATGAAAATAATTGAATTCTTGCAAAAAATTATATTAAAAAATTTGAAAATAATTGAATTCCTTCGATGAATTTTATTATTTATGAAAATAATTGAATTCCTTCGAAGAATTTTATTATTGATGAAAATAATTTAATTCTTGCAAAGAATTTTATTTAAAAATTTGAAAATAATGGAATTCCTTCGAAGAATTTTATTATTTATGAAAATAATTGAATTCCTTTGAAGAATTTTATTATTGATGAAAATAATTGAATTCCTTCGAAGAATTTTATTATTGATGAAAATAATTGAATTCTTGCAAAGAATTTTGTTAAAAAATTTGAAAATAATTTAATTCCTTCGAAGAATTTTATTATTTATGAAAATAATTGAATTCCTTCGAAGAATTTTATTATTGATGAAAATAATTTAATTCTTGCAAAGAATTTTATTTAAAAATTTGAAAATAATGGAATTCCTTCGAAGAATTTTATTATTTATGAAAATAATTGAATTCCTTTGAAGAATTTTATTATTGATGAAAATAATTGAATTCCTTCGAAGAATTTTATTATTGATGAAAATAATTGAATTCTTGCAAAGAATTTTGTTAAAAAATTTGAAAATAATTGAATTCCTTCGAAGAATTATATTATTTATGAAAATAATTGAATTCTTGCAAAGAATTTTGTTAAAAAATTTGAAAATAATTGAATTCCTTCGAAGAATTATATTATTTATGAAAATAATTGAATTCTTGCAAAGAATTTTATTAAACTTATTAAATTAATTATTATTATTAAATTTTATTAAAATTTTTAAAAATTCTAATTAAATTCTTTTGAAGAATTTCTTTGGATTTTTTAAAATAATGGAGTTTCTTTAATAATTTTAATTGAAAATTTTGAAAGTAATTGAATTTTATGAACAATTTCTTTCAAGCTAGGTATTAAATTCGATCGTGTTTCTTAATAATTAAAAATAATTATTTAATTATAGATTTTAATAACATTTTTAGAAAATAATTAAATTCTTCTTAGAATTTTCTTACAATTTTTTAAAATAATTTAATACATTCGTGGAATTTTATTAAAATATAGAAAATAATTGAATTCTTTCAAAAAGTGAAACTCCTTTAAACAATTTTATTAGAGTTTTTGTAAATAATTAAATTCTTTTGAAGAATTTCTTTTTTTAAAGTTTTTTTTAAAAATAATGTAGCTTTTTGAATAATTTTAATTAAAAATTTTTGAAATTTAATTGAATATAATCGTGTCTGTTAATAATTATAATTGAATATTTGATTATTGAAGTTTATTAAATTTGAATTGAAAATAATTAAATTTCTCAGAATAATTTTAGTACTTATAAAAAATAATTTAATTCTTGCGATGAATTTCATATAATTATATTTTAATTATATTTTTTTTTCTTTCATGAAAAATTCAAAATATATTTTTACTGTACTTTACTTTTATCAATAAGTGAATTTTTAAATATTTTCTAAAAAGTTATTAATTTCTGTTCAACAATCCAAGAGGAAAATTTACGTTTCTTTATTTTTCCAGCACCTTTGGAGTACTTTACACTTGTTTTCGACATGCCGTTTATGTTACTCTTGGAAGATATTCGTCAGGGTATATTTTACGCGACTCTACTTTCATTTTGGTTGATATTCGCCAGCGAACATCTTATGGTGAGTTACATATTCATAGTAATTATTTATTGTATCATAATAATTGTTATTTTTACTAGAAAATATTGACTTTTTTTACCTTTTTTACTATTTGAAAAAAAATCACTGTTTAATAATGAGAATTTTCTTTTTATTTCATGTCGCAAAACGAACAGATTCAAGTAAGTTTACGCTTTTTCATTTATAATTTTCAAATTTTGAATATCGTTTAATGTAACATTGCTTTTTTATTTATTAGGAAGGTGATCAAAGAAGTTCTTTGAAGTCCTATTGGCGTCATCTTTCCGCAGTTGGAATCGGATGTTTGTCACTCCTATTTTTCGACATGTGCGAGCGCGGAGTCCACATTAGAAATCCGTTTCACTCCATTTGGGTTACAACTGTCGGTGCACAAATTGCTGTATCCTTTTCTTTTTCTATTTTAAATTACTTAGTTTAACATAATTTAATTTTCATTCATTCTATTTAGTTTCATTCTTTTTGTTCTATTTTTAATTTGTTTTATTCCTTTTATTTCATTTTCTTTGTTCCATTTTTTTCCATTCTTACTTTGTTTCATTTTTTTTTTTTTTTTGTTCAATTTTTAATTTGCTTCAGTTTTAATCTGCTTCATTTTTAATTTATTTCATTTTTAATTCGCTTCGTTTATAATTTGTTTTATTCTATTTAATTTAAAAATACGATTTAACTGTCTTTCCTTTTTTTTCCATCAGTTGTTGTAAATTCAGGCCTCGGATCGACTTTAAGCTTCTGACATTTAATAACTTCTAAAAATTACAACTTTAATTCTCTTAAAATTCAATTATTTTCTACAATTTTTAATAAAACTTCTTCTCGAAATCAATTATTTTTAATAATTTTCCAAAAGTTCTTAGAGAATTCAATGATTTAAATACAAAAATTCATTTTTTTATAATGATTGTAACTGTCCATGTTTTTTAAGTTATTAATTAATTTTCAAAAAATTATAATAAAAAAATTCTTAAAATTAATTTTTCAAAAATAGTTTATAAAAAAAATACTTTTTAAATATTATATACAATTGAAAAATTTCCAAAACAATGAAAATTTGATAAATTCTATTAAAAAAAAAAATAAATTTTTAAAGAATTTTAATTATTAAATATAAACGTGATTTCTCCAAAATTTTAATTAATCTAAAAAAGTAAATTTAAAAAAATTTTAATTTACTTTGTTCGAAGTTAATTGAATCTCAAAAAATTAAGATAAAAAAATTGCAAGAAAAAGTTTTTTTAAATATTGTAATGTAATTTTTCGAAAAAAATTAAATTTCTCAAAAGAATTTTTGTAGGTATAATTTAAAAAAAGAATTTTTTTCAAGAATTTTGATTAAAAATTTTGAATATGATTGTTATATGTTATTAAAATGTTAAAAATAATTGTAAACAATTGTAATGTTATTATTTTTTGTATGTATTTGAATTTTTGGAAATTTATATTTGAAAATATCGAAAATAATTGAATTTTAAAAAATTAGAATGCAAAAATTCTAACAATTATTTTCTTCAAAAATATTTTTTAATATAATTTTTAGAAGTTAATTTTCATTAATTACCATTTTTAAATTTATACTTGAAGATTTTTCATTAAATTTTTAAGAAATCTTATTTTTTCAAAAATTTGCAATTAAAATTCTTTAAAAGTTGATTTTCAAAAATTTTTATAAAACACTTTCAAAAAAATCAATTATTTTCAATTAAATTTTACAAAATTTCAATTATTGAAACTCTTTTCAATTCTAAGTTTTGAAAATTTATTTAGTATTTATAAAAAATAGTTGAATTGTTTCGAAGAAATTATTAAAATTTTAGGAAATATTTGAATTCTTCCAAGAAATTCAATTAAAGATGTTTTGAAAATAATTGAATTCCTGCAAAGAATTTTACTATTTATAAAAATAATTGAATTCTTGCGAAGAATTTTACTATAAATAAAAATAATTGAATTCTTGCGAAGAATTTTACTATTTATAAAAATAATTGAATTATTTCGAAGGATTTATTAAGAATTTAGAAAATAATTGAATTTATTCGAAATATATTAACATTTTTTTTAGAAATTGAATTCTTTCGAGGAATTCAATTAAAATTGAATTAAATTTCAATTATTTTCAAAATTTGCAATTAAAATTCTCCAAAAGTTGATTTTCAAAAATTTTTATAAAAAAAAACACTTTGAAAAAAAATCAATTCTTTTCAATTAAATTTTACAAAATTTTATTTATTGAAACTTTTTTTAATTGTAAATTTCGAAAATTTAATTAGAAAAATTATTAATAAGTTGCATTTTATACTAAAAATTATTGCAATATTTGGAAGAAAAGTCGAAAAAGTCGTAATTTTTAAAAAATAAGTCGAAAAAAGTCGGATTTTTGAAAATAGTTTTAAAAAGTCGAAAAAGTTATAATATCCGAGGCCTGTAAATTTAATTTTCCGAAATTTTATTCACGAACTTAATTATTCCTTAACGAATTTAAACAGCTTGGCTTTATAATTCTAGCTGGAGTTTCAGCGGGTATTTACTTTTTGTTTTTGTGCTACATAATATGGAAGGTTTTCACGAATATCAGTATTAAAAGAGCCTCATTACCATCAATGAGCAGCGCACGTCGTCTACATTACGAAGGTATTATTTATCGTTTCAAATTTCTCATGATTGCAACTTTACTCTGTGCATCTTTAACCATCGCCGGATTCATTCTTGGAGAGGTAAATCAATTTTAAAAAAAAGACACTTAATTTAATAGTTAATAGTAATTAATTCTTTTTTTTTCGCAAAAAGGTGGCTGAAGGACAATGGAAATGGGACCAAGATATTAAATTAGAAATGACTTCAGCATTCTTTACTGGTGTTTATGGAATGTGGAATATTTACATCATGGCACTGTTGTGTCTTTATGCGCCTTCTCACAAACAGTGGCCCATTGAACCTTCAGGTGAGAAGAACTATTTAATAATTTAATAATAAATAATACAGGGTGGTCGCTGGACCGGGAAAACCGGGAAATGACAGGGAATTTTGATCTTGACCGGGAGTTTGGAAATTTTTTATTAAAAAATATTTTTTTTTTATAAACATACATTGATTATTTTGTGAGAAAAAAATAGAAATATTTATTTTAAGACTTATTAATTCTATTTCATTAAGAAAAATTTAATGATCTTCTAAAACATCGTTTTATTTTGTCAGGAAATTTTATCAAAAGTACTGGAAAAATATTCAATTTCTAGAATTTAAATAAGAAATTTATGAATTTTGTTGTCCAACTTAACAGACTTGAAAAAAAAGAAAATATTAAATTTAATTTTAAATTCTTTCTATTTCTAACAATAAATAATTGAACAAAATACAGTTTTAATTAAATTCGTCGAAAAATTTCACATCCTATAAAATAGTGAGAAATAAATCAAATTATAAATTTTTTTTGCAATAATTTTATGACAAAACAAATTTGAATTATTAAAAATGTGAACTAATGAGAACAAAAGTGATAAGAAATTTCTAAGAATTAATTTTTAATTTCTAAATATAACGAAACATTAAAATAAATAAAATTCTGTTTTTCTTAGAAAATTCAATTATTTCCAAACGTGATAAACTTCTTCGCTTAAATTCAATTATATTCAAAAGTTTAGAAAAATTCTCGTCAAAATTTAAATTATCTTTATAAATAATAAAATTTTTCTCCGAAATTTAATTATTGTCAAAAAATTTAATAAAATTCTTTGCAAGATTTCAATTATTATCAAAAATTTTCCTCAGTTCAATTATTTTTAATATCTACTATTTTAATAAAATTTTCCAAAAATTCAATTATTTAAACTAAATTTTAATAACAATTTTACAGAAATTCAATTACTTACCAATTTTTATAAATTTCTTCGTACCAATTCAATTATTTCGAAAAATTTAAATAAAATTTTTTTAAAAATTCTATTATTTAAAAAAATTTTGACAAAATTCTTTACAAGATTTAGTTAATAAAATTTTGCTATACAAATCAATTATTGTCAATAGAATTCTTCTTAAGAATTCAATTATTTTCATAAATAATAAAATTTTTCTCCAGAATTTAATTATTTATAAAAATTTTGTTAAAATGCTTTATAAATTTGAAAAGTTATAATAAAATTGATCATAGAATACAATTATTTTTGTAAAATATATATAACACTCTTCCTAGGAATGCAATATTATTGTCAAAAATGTTTGTAAAAATCTTTGAAACAATTCAATTATTTTCGTAAAAAATAAAATTCTTTGAAGCAATTCAATTATTTAAGAAATTTTAATAAAATTCTTTCCAAGAATTCAATTCTTTTCAAAAATAAAATTTTTCACTAGAATTCAATTATTTAAAAAAAAATTAATAAAATTCTTCGTTAGATTTCAATTATTTTCAATTTTTTAATGAAATTTCTCAATGGAATTTAATTATTTACAAAAAGTTTTAAGAAATTCTGAGAAATTCAATTATTTAAAAAAATTTGAATAAAATTCTTCACAAAAAATTATTTATTTTCATAAATAATAATATTTTTTTCTCCGGAATTCAATTCTTGAAAAAAATTGTTAATAAAATTCGTTGCAAAAATTCAATTATTTTCATAAATAACAAAACTTATGGCAGAATTCAAATTATTTTTTATACAATTTTAAATGTACTAATAGAAAATTGCATTTATTCTTAAAATTAATTTTTAAATTCGCCGAAACAATTCAATTATTTTTAAAAAGATTGATAAAATTCTTCATAAAAATTCAATTTTAAGAAATATTCAATTATTTAATAAATTATTTATCTTTCTATTAAAAAAAATTGGATTCTCGAAAAATTCTCTAATAAAAATTCATTAAAAAATAATGAATTTCACGTAAAATTTTAAATTGTAATTGAAAATTAAAAGCATTATAGTGTAAATTTTTAGAAATAATTGAATTTCGAAAAGTGTCTAAATTAAAATCTTAAAAAATTTGAATTTATTGTTACAATATTCTTATGATGGAAAATAATGATTTTATCACTCTGTCATCTTAAATTTCTTCATGATTTATAATAATATTCTCATACGTTATTGAATTTTAAAAGGTTTGAATATTCTTTAGTGTCAGGGAAAAACAAAATTAAATTTTTGTGGCAACCCTGTTACTATACTTTTATCTTTCATGGAATAATTTATTTTGAAAGCTATACTTTTTGACCGGGAAAAGTAATTAATGACCTTGAAATGACCGTGAATTTTCAGGGTTGCAACGCAACCTGGAAAAGTCAGGGAATTTTGATTGGAATCCTGGAAAATTATTGTTTTCTAAAGTTATTGTGCTTATTCTTGAAATCTAATTTTTCTTTTATTCAATTTTCTTAATTCAAATTTCTTAATTCAATTTTAAAAGAGTTGCCTTTACAATTTTTCTTCGCAAGAATTAAATTATTTTCATAAATAATAAAAAAATTTATAGATTTACAATTATTTTTATAAATAATAAAAAAATTTATAGATTTACAATTATTTTCATAAATAATAAAACTCATCGCAAAATTTCAATTATTTTTAATATAATTTTAATGGAATTTCTCGAAAAAAATTTCTTAAAAATTTTATTAAAATTCATCAAAGAAATTCAATTATTTTCAAAAGTAATAAAATTCTTCGCAGAAATTCAATTATGGTCAAAAGTTTAAAAAATTTATCGTCAAAATTTCAATTATTTTTATAAATATTAAAATTTTTCTCCAAAATTCAATTATTTTCATGAAATTTCGTAAAATTGAATTTTGTAAACAAAAGGATTTGAAAATGTTGAAAGAAATGTTTTAAAAATTATTAATAATAATTAATAATAATTAATTTAAAGAAGAATTTTAGTTAAAAATTCTGGAAAACAATAATTGAATTAAAATAATGAAAGTAATTTTGAATAAGTTACAGTAAGAATATTCTAATAATAAATGTATTTTTAAAAACCTGGAAAACCTGGAAAAGTCAGGGAATTTGAAATGAGCAAAAGCGTGGCAACCTTGATTTTTTTAATGAAAAAAGTGGCCACCCTGTAATAACAAAACTGTTAAAAATAGATAAAGTAAAGAATTAAATTTAAAGGAAAGTTTAAATTAAAATTTTTTTTATACTTAAATCATGATATTAAAATGGAAAATTGTAATTTTATTTGATTTGTATTTCTAGAAAATAGTGCAAGTGAAGAAATTGAATTTTCGAGATTGCAGTCGGAGCCAAATGAAATGTTGTCATTGACAGCATTCGCTCGCAAAACAGCCGTAGAATAAATGGGAATTGATAAACAAGGAATGAAAAGCCAAGTGGCCACATACTTGTGACTGATATTCGTTATATTATCTTTTATACGAAACTTAAAATTATTAGTTATCGCTAACATTTTTCAGTTGGAATAACTATTTTAAACGTCAGATTTTGATAACAACTTTCTCGACAAAGTTTGGGAAATTTTTAATTTATATACACTTCTAATATTTTATATTTTTACACTTTTTTAACTTTACACTCTTTTAAATTTATACAAACTTACAAATTTTTTGAAAACGACTTTTTTTATATCTAATTATCTTTACATTTACATATTTCAAAATGTAATTCTGTACATTATTGAATTTATTTATTTTCTTCACTTTTTTATAATTTGTATATTTAAATTTTTTGCTATTTATAATTTTTTATAATTTATTAATTTTTATAATTAATTTATTAAGAAAATATTTAATGGCACTAAAAATAGTTCAAACGACAATCAAAATGAGAAGAAAAAAAACAATGCTTGCACTTTTACAAATTTTATGTGACAAGTGAAATTTTTTTATTTTAAAACAATCATTAATTTCAGAAACAGAATAGAATAAATTAAAACTTGCATTATCAACGAAAGTAGCAAATCAAAAAATGAAATCAAGTAAAAAATAATAATAAGATTTAGATACTGAAGAATGAAAACAAACTGCTAATATACATATCAATATTGGGCATTTACTTACGTTTTATGAAAGCTGCATTTATGAACAAATTGAATTATTTGTAGACACTAAACAGTATTCAATATTTGCTTAAGAAGTGCTGTGGTACGTTATACATTAATCTTAGAGGTAATTGAACTTTTTTTTTTTAATTATTTAAAATGAACTTTTTACACCGTCTTGGTCGTAAAATTTGGATTATTTAATTCTTTTTTTAATGTGTATGAAAATATCGAATTTAGAGAACGTGATTAAGTAGATTTAAGGTGTAATAATCACTCACGTAAATTTAGAGTCAGAATTCACTCTAATTTTTTTTACATTTATATATTTATAATACAGAGAATATTATTTTGGCATAATATTGAATTTTATTTGACTAATTATATTGAGTCTATAATTTATTTAAAAAAATTTTTTTAATGTTTAAACTATAATAATTGTTCAAGGAATTGAAAATTTAATGAAATTATTAATTAATTAGTTATTTAAATTATTTTATTCAATTTAATAAATTAAATTAATTACTTAAAATTAAAAGTTAAATTAATTACTAAAATTGCTTTTACTGTTGACATTATTAATTATGTTATTAAATGTTTAATTCTTATTTGATTTGAGATTTTCTTTTTCATTTGGACGAATATCTGACTTTATTTGACGTTTACAATAATCTGCATGAATATGAAAAAGTATTAGCCGATAATAGATCGATCATATAAATATATAATCCGAATCAGTATTCAAATCATAATAGAATTTACAAACTAAAGTCATTAGTGTAGCAAAAAAAAAAAAAAAACGAAAATAACTTTTTTTTAAATATTACTCTTGCCTCTCAAGAAGTTTTACTTTTTTTCAAATTCAATTTTAAATTAATTTATATATTTTGTACATTATAATTTATTTTTCTTATTTTTTACTTTAGATTTTAATCTAGAAAAGTGAAATGCATGAATGATGAAATTAAATTAATAGAAAATATAAAGTACATGTGCCATTTACAAAAAAAAAAAAACTTTATATTATTAACAATTAATTCAACTGTAATTCTTGTAAACTTTTGTACATTTTTTTACAATAAATTGATTTGTTATAAAATTTTATTTCAGAAAGTTTTCAAAAGGAGGCGATAAATAATAATGATTACAAAAAATAATTTTCAATTTATCAATATTAATTAATTATTAATTGATTATTATTAATTATTATTAATAATAATAATAAATATTAATATAAATATTAATAATAATTAATAATTATTAATAGATATTAATTCATTATTTTATTTTTTTCTTATTTTTTGCGTTTATTGTATAAAAATTAAATTACGGTAAAGAAGTATTTTTATTTATTTATTTATTGAAAATTTATTTCTTTAAGCATAAAGTCTTAAATAAAAAATTAAATTGTTTATCATTTAATGAACTTTAGTTAAATTCCAATTTGCTAATTGTTTATACAAATGAAAAACGATTTTATTTTGTTTTAGTAATGTCAAGATGAATTTTGAAGACAGACGTAAGAAATCATTTATAAAAGTGACCCGATTATTTTTATAATAATAATTTCTTTTTTACAAATAAAAAATTGAGCCTCAAACCGAAAAAATCCATGATTTTCACCTGAGAAGAAAATATTGCAGGTATTTCTCATTTACAAAATATAAAAACATGATTAAAATATCGATATTTAGAATATTAAATTATTTGTCAATATTGAGTGCTGCAAATATTTCATTGCGATTAATAATTGGAAATAAATTTGAAATATGTGAAAAAGGGAACATTTTACCATTTTACTAAAAAGTAACAATTTAGAAAATTTACCAAAGTAATTAATAATACTACGACTGTTTTTTAATATCTATTTTATCTTATTTTTAAAATAAATTTTATTACTCAATTATTACATTTATTTTAATACTAAATAAATAGTGGATTTTAATTTTCCCACGCGATAATCCGATTGGTTGGCTCAGTGTCAAAACAAACTTGACGCATGCGCATAATGTGAATTCGAAATTTCCCGCGCAGGGGATTTAAAGATGGCTGCCGCAAGTTTTACCTTTCACTTTCACGGATTGGTTCGTTCTAATCTATCGCAACATTCTATTGGTGGAAATTTAATGGCCTAACAACAATTCAAAAAAAACTAAACTCTGGCGCAGTACAAATAACGCCTGGAGAAACACACAACATAAGAGAACACACTCATACACGGATAACATACATTGTGTCTACACATGCCCTTATGCGCATGAGAAGCCTTTGTCCGTATTTGTGATTGCTTTTCGCAGCAGAGTCGAGTAGTGTGTGCGCATTGCATTCACGGGATCAGTCTGGATTGTTTGGCAACGATTGCTCGATTAGCAACCTGGCAGATCTACAGTTGGCTAGTGCTGCTATCGAGATTTATCAAGTGTTTTGTGTGACGGAGATTGTGAGATTTTTTTTGGAAAATTGTGTTGTGTTAAAGTTTAAAGCAGTCCTCGGATTGACAGCTCGCGACAAGTCCGCTGAACGGAAGTTTTCATTATCTGTAAGTTGAAGTGGATAGTTCGACCATTCGTGTGTGAAATTTTCGCATTATCAATCGGTAATTTTTGCGTGTCTAATTATTAAATCAATTCGTGGTGACTCTTTAATTTTTCCTCACACATGAATCTAAATTGTAGATGATCGTGACGAGAGTGAGACAAAATGATGATAATTTAGTATTGGTGTATGGGAAGTGTTTAAACAAAGGGACGATTCAATTGTTTATCCGCGGACCATCAGTGTTAATTATACGAACATAAAATCGGATCATTGACGACTCTCTTTCCTATCACTTTCTCTCTTTTTCTTAATTCGCAGACCGTTGATTGTCGAAACTGTTTGTTTGTTTCTTTTTTTTTGGTGCTGCCATTGCTGCTAGAGACTAAAACCCCCATAGAGAGAGTCGGAGTGCTACAGTGCATTTCAAGTGAGAAGATAGACAATTGGATTGGAGTTGTGCAGTGTCGTGCCTGCGAGGCCCTTACATGAGAATCGGCTCAGCTGATTCATAGACTGCGCCATCACGGGCTCTTCGCAGCTTTTCCAATAATCAACAATAAAAATGTCGTCTCCAAGTGCTGGCAAGCGACGTATGGACACGGACGTTATCAAACTGTATCCTTGACTCTTTCTCTCTTTCTCTAACCTCCCACTCTTTTGCTTCTTTCTCCCTGTCTCTCTCAGCTTTGCATCTCTCTTTCTCTTTGCCTATCTCTCTTTCTCTCCCTTCTATTTAATTCTCAATTTTTCTCTTCCTTAAAGACTATTTTTACTATGCCCTTTATTTTATATTTAAACAAAAGAAGGTTTGTACTAAACTATTCTCAATTTATAACTCTAAATCTTTACGAAAGTGAAATTTTAAAAATATCCGTAAATCGTTATTTTGATGATAGAAAGTAAACACTTGAATAAAGAATTCAACAATGGGATTTTATTTTGAGGAGGGGCATTTAACCTCGTGCTACGCCGATGACAAGCACAGCTGTTTTTAACCAGCTGATTGTGTACAGTGTTTTGTATATATGCGCAGATTTTTATTTTATTGTGTATAAAAATATCAAAAAAAAAGAAAGAAAAAGACAGATTTTACAATCAGTAGAATTTTCCCTGTTGCTAACAGGAAATGATGTGCCAATTTTTGAGTCACCCTGAAAACAGAATTAAACCCTTTAAATTAATTATCAAAATAGAATTTTTTATTTATTTTGAAAATTTTCAAAATATTTGCTTGTTAATACAGCTTACTTGATATTTGGTTTTTTATTCATGTTTGAATTTAAATATGTACCAATAAAGAGAATTTATAATTTCATGAAAATGTAAATTTTTTTTTTTTTTGAATGAAAAATTGACAATCTAAAGCAAAATTTTTTTGAAAATTATCAAGTATTTTGTTTATTAAATGACGTGTATAAATATAAAATTAGCGGAAATGTTTTCAAGAAAGTGGAAATGAGAGAGGAGCACGGAAAGTTAATTAAGCCCCTCTGAACTTTACGTGTAATTGTAAAATACAAAAGCACATTATCGCTTACTGAGTGAGTAGTGTAAATCAGATTAAACTAAGAAATCCTATTACACTTTTCATCTCTCTTTTGAAGTTGAAATCAATAAAAATAGAATTCTCGTCAGACGTGTATTTAAAAAAAAATAAAAAAGATGAAATTCATTATAATTAAAAGCGAAAAAAAACTCTTTTCATGTTTTAAAAAGTTAGTTTTTTTTAATATCAAGATATATATATTATACAAAGATTTTGATTTCCTTGACATGCGTCACTGACATAACAATCAATAGTTACATACATTTTTATTTCCCATTTTGATCTGCAAACGACCTTGGTCGAAAAGGAAACTTACGGATGACTTAATATTAATTGCATGTGCTTACACGCACGCTAAAATCTATTCGCTTTCGAAAGAATACGTCACAGACGAACGTTTCACATAATCTTTTGTGCTCTATCGCTCACCGTCTTTCTCTCCCTCTCTTTCTTTCTCTCTTTTCATTTACTGCAACTTTTTAACGCGTGTAAAAAGAAAAGATGTGCGGGTAAAATTTAATTAGAAAAAAAAAAAATCAAATGCCTCTTAATTTTTATATATAATTGCGTACATTCTAGAAATTGCTTCAATTTTCGCAATTAATTTTTTATCTTTTTGAAATAAATTATGTAAGCATTCATTGATTGATTTAAATTACATTATACACTCCAAATATTATTATTTTATACTAATTATTTTTAATAATTATAATAAAAATATTACTAATAATAATAATTATAATAACAGGCCCTCGGATATTATGACTTTTTTTTGAGTATTTTCTAAAAATGCGACTTTTTTTCGACTTATTTTCGAAAATTGCGACTTTTTCGACTTTTTTTTCAAATAAGTATTGCAACAAAATACCACATTATTTGTATAAATATTGCAAATTATTTCGATTTTTCTAGAGTGAAAAATAATTAGACAACTTTTTCAAAAATTATTTTTGTATATTTTTCTAATTAAATTTTCGAAATTAGAAAAATAATCAAATGAATTTCCATGTAAAAAGAAATTCAATAACAATGGTTTTTTAACATTTTTGACCTAAAAACAATGTTTTTTTTCAAAGAAATAATAATAATAATTTTTTTCATTCGGCAATTTTTTTGAGAATAGAGAAATAAATTTTCTACAAAATTACGTATGGATTTTCAAATCTTTCAATTTTTAAGAAGAATAAAAACCAAAAAGCAGGCCTCGGATATTTTCCAAAAAAGCGACTTTTTTCGACTTACACTAGAACCTCCAACGATTGCATCTCTATCTATTGCAGTTGTTTACGAAAGTTTGGTGGTCATCCGCTAGGGGGGTGAGAGGGGAGGACACCGCCATATTAATGCGAAGGCAGTATTGTACTAAGTTTAGTGTTCTTTTGCGCCCCGTTTTTTAAAGTTGTATTTTCATATTTCAACATGAGACTGAAAAAGGTCAAAAACGTAAAAGAACGCACTTAGGCATTGAAACTAAACATAATATTTTAAAAAAAATAAAAAATGGCGAGGATAAAAATGACATTTTACGCCAATACAAAATATTTGAGAGTGTACGGCCCTGAGTGTTGACACTTTTATGGAAAGATGGCGCCAAGGTGAAAACCTCCATCTATTGCACACAAGAAGGTCACGCTGCAATCGTTGGAGGTTCTAGTGTATTTTCAAAAATTGCAACAAAATACCACATTTTTAGTACAAATTTTAAATTATTTTGATTTTTCTAGTGTGAAAAATAACTATAAACAAATCATTCAAAAATTATTTTTGAATAATTTTTCTAATTAAATTTTCGAAATATACAATTAAAATGATTTGTAATAATTGAAATTTTGTAAAAATTTAATTTAAAATAATTGATTTTTTTCAAGTATTATTATTACAATTTTTGAAAATCAACTTTTGAAGAAATTTAATTGCAAATTTTGTGAAAATAATGTAATTCTCAAAAAAATTTAATGCAAAATCTTCAAGTGCAAATTTATGAAAATGAAAATTAATAAAAACTAGCTTCTAAAAATTGGTATTAATTTTTTTTTTAAAGTAATTCTTAGAATTTTTTTTATTATAAATTTGTAAAATTCAATTATTTTCAATATTTTCAAAAATGTAATTCCGAAAATTTTTCAGAATTATTTTTAACATTTTGGAGAAAACAATCATTGTGAAAATTTTTAATTAAAATTGCTCAAAAAAATTACTTAGTTTTTCTTAATTATACAAAAATTCTTTTAAGAAATTCGATTATTTTCGAAAACCTACTTTAGAATATTTTTAAAAAACTAATTCTTAGAATATTGTTTTATCATAATTTTTTAAGATTTACTTATCTTCGAACAAAGTAAATGAAATTTTTTTTAAATTTACTTCTTTAGATTACAAATGATTTCTTAATGAAGAACATGAATCCTAAAGCGTGGACCATCGGAACTAAAATTAAATACTCATAACTTCGTCAATTTTGCTCCGATTGTCTTGAAATTTTAACACAATATTTTGGAGACATTATGCATTCATTTAAAAAAATTTCAGACCTTCCCCCCTTAAAGTCGATCCGAGGCCTGTAATAATAATACCTAATTATTATTATTGTTACTATTTTTATTATTATTATTTATTATTATTATTATTAATTACTATTTTTATTGTTACTATTTTTATTAATATTATTATTATTATTTTTCACGAAAATTTTAGTACATAATTAGGCAAATGTTAATGATTTTCTTTATAACTGGTACCAATTTGTGTCAGGCTTTTCATTATTTAGTTTATTTTTCAAATTGTAGGAAATAATAAATTCTTTTGTCTCGTGTCAATTTCTAATTTCAATAATATAGTGGAAGTTGAGGTTAAAATACAAAACGTGCGTGATTCTCGAAATCAGAAAGATTTCATCATTCCTTTATTGATTTTAATATGCCTTCTGAAAAGCAGAAGGAAATTTTTTTTTAAGTTCTTTCATTTTCTTTACTTTTATGTATAAATATGTATATACAACAAAAAACCTTTGTTTCAATTTTTTATATTTTTATTTTCCTTTTAAAATAATTTAAAAGCCACACAGGGAATGAAATGAAATTTATTTTCTATTTTTGTATTCTTTGACTTATTGAGTTTATTTATTTTATTTTTATTATTTTTTTCATTAATTTATTTCTATATTTTACATTTGTTTATTTTTACTATTTTTTTCGTTTATTTATTATATTTTATTTGTTTATTTTATTATATTTATTTTTTGTTTATTTTCTCCCCAATTTATTTAATTCTCTTGCCCCTTTGACTAATTATTTTCTATTAAGAGTTTAAATTAAAATAATGTTTATCCTTTTGATACAAAGATTCAAGGGAATTAATTTTATCTTTGACATATGTTAATGCAAAATATATTTATGATAAATTGAAAAATTGATGATGATGCAACTGTGTATTTTTCCCTTTGTCCAGTATGCTTTTCCTTGAAAGTTTAGGTTCCTTGTGGCTCTTTGTTAGGAAAGTATAGCGATTTTCAAAAGAGGAAGGCATAGAAACCTTTAGTTATAAAACTGTATACAACTCAGGCTCTAAAATACGGCGGGCATTGAACTAGAACACTCTTTATTGTATAAACTATACATTAGTATATATTTATATATATGTGTGTGTGCATGTACATGCGCGCGCAAATGCGTGATTATTAAGAATTTCCATCTCTTTAGAACCATAACAAAGATCTTGGTAATCTATTTTCAAAAAAAAAAATTTCTCCTCATTTCTATGTACGGTGAACGCAACGTAACATTATTTTACGTATTCAGAATCTCCCCCCTCTCTCTCTCTTTCTATTAACTAAAATGTAATTTTAACTCTTTTTAACATTTATATTATGTGAAATGTGAATATTCGATTTTTGAATAAGTATTCGATTGGAATAAAATAAATAAATAAAATTCGAGTTGATTTATTTTTTTAGGAAGGGGCGAAAATATATATATATATGTATATTAAAAATTTGAAAGTCAATTTTATTGTGACTTGAGTTTCGTAAATGAACGCGCTCTTGAACGAAAATAGACCGTGGCATTATTTCTAATGGATCTCTCTTGCTTGTTCTCTTTTATTTGATAGTGTCTCTAATTGGCATCGTCATTTTTAACACATCCCTGTAATTTTGATTTTCTTATCGCGCATCAAGTTCAATATATATACACATTTTTTCCTCCGCGCGAAACAAAAGAATTGATCTTGTTACTTTTACTTTCACATTATTGTGCGTATTTTTTTTTCAAAAAATTTTTTTTACATATTTTGAAAAGAAATTTTTTTTAATTTATTATTTTCTAAGTTTGTTCTAATTTATTATTATAAGAGATCACTTTTTAGTATAGTGGTTTATTAGTTCCAGTTGATATTAAAATAATTATTTAAATACGAAAGGAAATGATAATTAGAAGAATATTTTATTTCTCTCGTTTCTTGAAATGAAGAAAAAAAAATTTAATTTTCGATCTCTTTTAGAGCCACGTGTGTCTTTTAAATATGTACTCGAAAATTTTCTTATAATCTTTTTTGGCTGCATGCCCAGTGAGCAGTTTATTCATTTATATTCTTCACTAATTCTAAACAGATGTTGATAAGTTTCAAGTCAGGAAATGATGCTTTTTGATGACGTTATAAAAAAAGTGTATTAAAATGTCGTTGGTTAATCGTCATTTTCTACAAATAGGAATTTTCTAAGACAAATAATTATAATATAATAATAATATAATAATAATAATAATAATAATAATAGTCCCAAAAAATTTTTTTTTCCTACAAATAGAAATTTACTGAACCAAATAATTAGAATATAAAAAATAATAATAAATAATAAAAATAATAATAAGAAAAAATAGTAAAATAATTAATACAGGGCTCGGATTGTGCGACTTTTTTGTGAAAAAATGCGACTAATCGACTTTTTTGATTCTTTTTAGTAAAATGCGAATGAAATTAAAATTTTTTTTTTAAATTTAAAGGAAAAAGTTTGATTTCAAAAAATGTTCTGTTACATTTATTTACAAATTTTTTGAAAACATCAATAATTTTTTTTTTTTTAATAAATATTTAATTATTTTTTTTCCATAGGAATTAAAATTCTTCAAAAGATTCAAATAAAAATAAAATTTTTAATTATTTTTTATGCAAATAATTGAATTATTGGGAAGAAATTTATAAAACATTAGTAAGTAATTGAATTTTGCAGAAGAGTGTTGATATTTACAAAGATAATTGAAATTTTGAAGAGAATTTAAAAAAAAATTTTTGAAAATAATTGAATTTCTGTGAAGAATTTTTTTACTTTTGAAGATAATTGAATTTTGCAAAAAATTTTATCAGAACTTTTCAAAATAATTAAATTTCCAGAATGAATTTTATTATTTATGAAGATAATAAACATTTTAACAAGAAATTAAAAAAAAATTTTGAAAATTATTTAATTTCTGCGAAGAATTTTATTACTTTTGAAAATAATTCAATTTCTAGGATAAATTTTATTATTTAAAAAGATAATTGAAAATTTGACAAGAATTTTATTAAAATTCTTTGCAAATAATTGAATTTCAGAGAAGAATTGTATTACTTTTGAAAATAATTGAATTCATGTGAATAATTTTATTAATTTTGGCAAATAATTGAATTTCTGTGGAGAATTTTATTAAAATTTAAGAAAATAATTCAATTCTTGCAAAGATTTTTATTAATATTTGAAAAAAAATTTATTTCCCGTAAAAAATTCAATTAAATTTTGAAAATAATTGAATTTTTGCGAAGAATTTTATTAAAATTCCTTAAAATAATTAAACTTCCGCGAAAAAAATTTTGTATTGAAAACAATTCAATTCTTATCATTAATTTAATCAAAATTTTTCCAAATAATTGAATTTCTTGAGAAGAATTTTAGTAATAATTGAAAATAATTGAATTCTTACGATAAATTTGATGAAGTTTTGAAAATAATTGATGTCATGCGAAGAGTTCAATCATTTTTTGAAAATAATTCAATTCTTGTGAAGAATTTTATTAATTTATAAAAAAAAAATTACTGTCAAGAATTTTAAAGTTTTTAAAAATAATTAAATTCTTGTAAAGAATTTGATGAATTTTAAAAAATAATTGAATTCCTGTGAATAATTTTATTAATTTTGGCAGATAATTGAATTTCTGCGTAAAATTTTTTTAAACGTTTTTAAAATAATTGAATTATTACAAATATTTTTATTAATATTTGAAAATAATTGAATTCGTAAGAAGAATTTTATTTCAAATTTGTGAAAATAATTGAATTTTTGCGAAGAATTTTTTTACTTTTGAAGATAATTGAATTTCTGCGAAGAAGTTTATTACTTTTGAAAATAATTGAATATTTCAGAGAAAAATTTTATTATTTATAAAGATAATTCAAACTTTGACAAGAATTTTATTAAAATTTTTGTTAAATAATTGAATTTCGGAGAAGAATTTTATTATTTATAAAAATAATTGACATTTTAAAGAGAATTTTTAAAAAAATGTTAAAAATACCTAATTAAAATTTTGCTATGAATTTTATTTAATTTTTAAAAATTTTATTCTTGATTGTTTGATATTAATGTATCTGTTGTCGAGAAATGTGATTTTTTTTACAATTTTGACAATTTCGTGTTTCCTTTTTGTTTTTTTTTTCTAAAATTTCATGCAACTTTTTTCCGACTTTTTTTGGAAATTTTATGCGACTTTTTGTGACTTTTGTTGTAAATTTATGCGACTAAAGCGACTTTTTTTGAGTCTTAAAGACGATCCGAGCCCTGCGTTAATAACAATAATAAAATTTTTATTTATACAAATTAATTTATGCACAAAATTTTTGAAAATAACATAAAAATTTCTTTTATTGATTTTCGCGGGCGTTTGAGAAATTTTGTCTTTTCAATAAAAAGAAATTTTTCTCTTTTCTTTTGCACACTCTTAATAAAAATCTTTTAAATTCAGGGCGAGAAAATTTCATTGTACAATAAAAAGAAAAATTTTAAATTGAAGGGAACTTTTTATAATTTAATATGAAAGACTTGAACGAAAAGTTTATAAAGTATACATATGTGTGAATTGTAAATGGAAAATTTTAACTTTTTGAAAACTTTATATTATAAATGAAAAATATTTGGCGAAAATCTCGTCATTGAAAAGTTAAAATTTTTATATCTTATTTGTATACTCTGAAATATAATTTTCGAATGGAATTTATTTTTTAATGTCATACCTATTCTGAAATATTTTTTCCCACTATTTTTAACTTCAGCGATTAATTTTTTATTTTTCATTCATTTTTTTTCCTTTTTGTCTTTCCCTCTTTTTTCTCTCCTATCTTTCTTTCTTTTCTTCTTTTTTTTAATCTTTTTTCTTTCCCTTTTTTTCGTGTATAAATACCTACAAAAATACGCGAAAGTGAAAAAGTACGATTAAAAATAAAATAAAACTCACACTTTCAACTAACATTATTGTAATTTTATACTTCGGAAATCGTTTTAGAAATCACGTTCAATAATTATTTCACTTGAATAGTAGAAATTATTTATTATATTATTATGTGAGAGATTTAAGAGGAAATTATTTTTTTTCGATAAGAAAAGAAATTCAGAAAAATAAATTTTTTCTCCATGATTGTATTTTTATTTTTTATGATTACTAAAATTATTTTACTTTCTATCATCATTTTGCGCTATTTTATAAATGTACATGTATCTTTTTCCTCTCTATATATATTTAGTGTTGCTTAATCTTTTAATTGCCGCTTTTTTACTATCGCTCTCAAAAACAATTATCAAAATATATTTTTAAGTATATCTTACAGAAGCCAAGAAAAATTTTTCCTTAACTTATTTTTAAAAACAGAATAGAAAGCAAACACGAAGTGACAATTTTAGGTGGACTCAACGAATTTTCCGTCAAATTTTACGGACCTCGAGGGAGTGAGTATTTTTACTTTCTATATGATGATAATTACAATTTATTTATTTATATATAAAATATTAACTCCAATCTATCAAAAAGAAAAGAAAGGGGAAAAAATTATCTCTAAATCTGAGTTTGAAAATAAAAATAAAAAGTTTACAAATAATATCAAAGTTCAATCTATGAAAAAGAAAAGAAAAAAATGATCTCTAAATCTGAGTTTGAAAATAAAAATAAAAAATTTACAAATAAAATTAAATAAAAAGTTTAATACAATAGGAGAATAAAAAGTATTTTTTTTATAGTAAATAATTATTGGAAAAATTTATTTTCCAAAAATAAATATCGCGCGAGTTTAATTAAATAAGCTAGTTATAAATTTTATGCGAATATAATTAAACGATAATAAATTGGTGTTTGGTGCGTATAAATTATTGCTTCAATCGTGAAAAGATTTATATTTTGATGATGTTCAATAATATTGTGCCAAACCCATTTTTGGACGGAAGTTGTAAATTATATAACAGTGCGTTTGTTTTCCTGTTGTAGATTTTAAAATATAATAAAAGTCGATGTCGTTATTTTAAAAGCTTCATTCACTTGATAATTTATTTTTTTCAAATCTCTTCACAAGCAATATTAATTTATTTTTCTATCAAAAAAATTTAATTTCAGTAAAAAATTTCCTTTTTCTCTTGTAAAAAACTTAACTTAAATATAATAATATTTAGTTGTAATTAATAAATAAAGTATAATAAATAAATAGAAAAGAATAAAAATATAAAAAAATAAAAAATTCATTGAGGGAGAAATGTTTCCTTTCTGAATTTAATTCGACCTTTTTTTCACTGGTATAAAAATAATTATACACTGTGTTTATTAATAATTGAATAGAAACAAATTCCTTCTTGATTGAAAGAAACATTTTTTTCTGGGTGTGTCGATGAGAATAATAAATATATACATGTATATTTGTTTCCATTCGAAAATCTTTCTTTCACTTTCTCTTAATAGTTATTCCATAACAGCTTCCATATTAGTTCATGTATAATATTGATAAAATTTTATTACAACTATTTTAAATATATATTATATTTTCATTGTAAATTCGAGTGTAAATTTATATTTAAATTTTATTAAAAATTTTAATTTCTCCTTTTTTCTTGTTTTTAATTAAATTATTATAAATTTATAAATTCTTTCACACGTGATAATGCTTTATAACTTTTTACATTCTTTTTTTCATTTGTTAATCATGTGATATTATAAACAAAAGTTTTATTATCATACTTTTTTTTATCTGTATAATATACTTGCAATAATTTTACCTTTCTTGTTCCACTTAACTTGCTTTTATACTCTTTTTTACTGCAGTTCTGATAAATTTTATTCGTAATTTAATATTTTTAATTGCATGGAAAAATTTATTGTTTCAAAATTAATTTTAGAAAGAATTTTAAAATAGTTTTTTTATGTTACTGACCAAAAAAAAATTATTATTTGATTCAAATAACTGATTACGTACCTATTACAGGCATCACAGTTGGTCCCCTTTTCCTCTTTTGTCCTCTTATTTCAATTTTATCACCTTTTTTTACCTTTTTTGACGATTTGTCACCTTTTCCCCCTTTTTTGGTGATTTGTCCCCTATTTCTAATAAAAAATAATGAATAATAATTAATTAACATTATAAAATAATTAAAATATTATTATTAATAGTTTTTTCTAGAAAAACAAAAATTCTAATACAAAACTTATTCAATTTTTTTAATTTCTGACAGAAATTTCTTTTTAAATAACTTAATTCTTGAAGAACTATCATAAAATTATTACTTAGAAATTTTTAATGAATAATTTTACTTAAATATTTCAAAATTAATTGAATTTTAGAAAAGTTGCGTTTACAATTATTTTCATAAATAAAGATTTTAATTTCAAATTTCATAAAATTTCAATTTTTAATGAATTTTATTAGAAATTCTAAAGAACTTAAATTGCAAAAATTTTCAAATTTTAAATTATGTATTCTGAAATTACTTAAATTTTTTAATATATATATATTTAATTAATTATTAAAAATAATGAATTTATCGAGGAATTTTAGTTAAAAACACTTAAAAATTTGAACTTTGGAGAAGTTTTAAATGATTGCAAAAATTCAATTAATATTTTCAAAAGTAATAAAATTTTTCGCAGAAATTCAACTATATTAAAAAATTTAAAGAAATTCTCGTCAAAATTTCAATTCTCTTTATAAATTAATAAAATTCTTCTTCAAAATTCTATTTTTTTCAAAAATTTTAATAAAATTCTTGGCAAAATTTCAATTATTTGCAAGACTTTTTCTAAATTCAATGATTTTCAATATCCACTATTTTAATAAAATTTTCCAAAAGAATTCAATTATTTAAAAAATTTTTTACTAAAATTCTATGCAAACTTTTAATTATTTTCATAAATAATAAATTTAATTATGTAAAAATTTGTTGATAAAATTCTTTAGGAGAATTCAACATTAAGGAACATTCATTTTTTTAGTATAAATAATTAATTTTTGTATTTAAGTAATTGAATTATATGAGAATTTTCTCATAAACATTGAATTATTTGATTTAAAAGTGAATTTCAGTTAAAATTTTACATAATAATTGAATACTAAAAGCATTAGAGCATGAATTTTTAGAAATAATTGAATTTTGAAAAAGTTTCAAATTGAAATCTTTGAAAATCTGAATTTTTCATATTTTTGTAGAAAATTAATATTTTTCAAAAAGTCCAATTGAAATAACTCGAAGTTTTTATTTTCTAATATATATTTAATTAATTTTGTAAAATTGAATTGTAAACAAACATATTTTTGAAAATTCTCAGAATTTTTTTAAAAATTATTGTAAATCATTGATTTAAAGAAGAATTTTAGTTAAAATTTGCAGAAAATAATAATTGAATTGAAATAATGAAAATAATTTTGAAGAAGATCAGTAACAAAGTTCTTACAATATGAAATAAATGATTTTATCACTTTCTTCATATTTTAAAATTATATTCTCATAAATTGTTGAATTTCAAAAAGATTTGAATTTGAATGTTTCGAAAATCTTAATTCCTATGGAAAAATAATAATGATTAAATATTTTTTTAAAAAAGAAGTTGTTGCTGTTTTCGAATAATTTTACAGTTAAAGAAATTCGTAAATAAATGTAATAGAATATTTTTTTGAGCATCTAATAATTTTTAGAGTGAATCAGAATATTCTTTAAGGTCAGGGAAAAAGTTAAAAATTGTCTAGAAATCAGGGAAAAGTCAGGGAAAAACAAAATTAAATTTTTGTGGCAACTCTAATTAAATTTGAATTATTTTTAAAAAAATTTATAGAAGCTATATGATAAAAAATTTGAATTATATATGCAAGTTTTATAAACAAAAATTTAAATATAGAATTAATTTAAAAAATATTCTATAGAAAAATTTTCTTTTTTCATTTTAATGGTAAAAAACAATATAATATGTGATAATGTAACAATCAGAATAAAAGACTTGTCTATAGAAATATGAAGGCTTTTTGAATTTGTTAGTCAGAGTAATAAGCGTTTAATTAGCATATAAGGGTATATAAACGTAACTATATATATATGCGTACGCCGAGAAAATATTTTTTATTGTGTAATGATTCAAGATATTCTCTCAAAATGGTACATGCCCTTGTAAATTCACACCTCTCATAATCAGTTAAATGAGAACAAAGAGCAATTATTATATCATTCAGAGATAGTTTTGTTAATACTTTCCTATATTAAATAGAGTTTTTTTTAATTCTATTCATTCATATTTATATATTGCTAAATAATCGCAAATGACACATGTGAGTCTAAAACGATAAAATTATAATTTTTCTGCCTATTAATTATCGTCATTTACCTTATTTAAGTACTGAAAAGATTTTCAATTACATGTGTATGGTAATTAAAAATAACAAATCTACAATAACAATAGAAAAATTTGTAACACTCAAGAACAAAAGATTTCTTTGTGTCAAATTTTTTTCTTCTTTTTGTTTTTAATTTGACGCGTTTATTAATTTTTTTCAAATTAGTTTTTTAGTAGTAAAAATTTATTCTTTCGATAGCAACTTTTTTACATTTGTAATATGAAGATTTGAACGTTTAAATGAACGTAATATAATTTTGTTTTCCAATATTTTGAAAAAGTAATGAACTGAATTAAAAAATATTTTAATTAATTATTTATTCAAGAAACATTAATTTTTTAATAATTAGAACAAACGAAATTTTTTAAATAAAAATTCACATTAAAAAAAATCAAATATCGTCGTTTATTTGAACGTTCGACATCTTAGGGCATTTTTTTACTATTGTTTCTAGTCTTCAAGCTACTTTTTTTATAAAATTAATTATCGAGTTCGATGTCTGTAATTAATAAAATATTACATTGAAAAAAAAACTTGACTATTATTGCAATTAAATATTTACTTAAATCAAATAATTATTTATTTCAGTCAATTAATGGTCAGGGCTCGGATTGTGCGACTTTTTCGACTTTTTTGTGAAAAAATGCGACTAATCGACTTTTTCGAGATTTGTTTTAATAAAATGCGAATGAAATTTAAATTTTTTTTTAAATTTAAAGTAAAAAGTTTGAGTCAAAAAAATGTTCTGTTACATTTATTTACAAATTTCTTTCAAATTTTTCGAAAACATCAATAACTTCTTTTTTAAATAAATATTTAATTATAATTTTTCCATTGGAATTAAATTCCTTCCAAACATTCAAATTCATTCGTTTTTGAAATTAAACAACTTATAAAAAATTGTTATAAAACATGAAGAATCGATGTCTTTATGTTTTATAATAATTAAAGATGACCGAGTGATAAAATCATTAATTATTATTATAAGACTTTATAAAAAAAAATTTTTTAAATTATTTTTTATGCAAATAATTGAATTATTGGGAACAAATTTATAAAACATTAGCAAGTAATTGAATTTTGTAGAAG